GCACACCTGGAAGACCACCGGGAGCCAGTGCAGCTCGCGCAGGAGAGGTGTTATATGGGAGCGCCATGTCGCTCCCATGATCACCCACGCGGCCGCATTCTGGACCAGTTGGAGCCTCCGGGTGCTCCTCAAGGGGAGCCCCATGTAGAGAGCGTTAGCGTAGTCCAGGCGAGAGGTGACAAGAGCATGAGTGACTGTGCATAAATAATTTCATTCAATAAATGAAATTGAACAGTTAAAAAAATAGATCTGAATAAAACAAAATTTTTATTGACATTATCAGGCCATAGACTCATTTGCTGTGTTGAAGTTTAGAGTTATATCAATGTATCTATGTCAACAATCTTATCTTCCCATATTAGCCAATGAATCAGTGAAGATATTGTTTGCTGGTTTACTATGTCTAAATTATAGCAACCAATTAAATTTAATTATGACTAAACAACTTCAAATTCAGCATTAGCTTATAATACATTAAAGTTAAAATTATGTATCACAAATCCAGGCTGACCAAGACACTAGAAAGGTGATTTCTGAGGAAAACGTGAGAAGTTCACATAAAAATTCAGGGAGGTCCTGAAAAAAATCCCAAATGTTGAAATGAAAATGTCAGCAGAGTTAGATCTGGGTTACAGAACTTCAAATAATTACTAGATGTCAGGAAAGAGAAACAGAACTCTCAATTTGTGCCATCTACTTTTGCTTTATGGTCCTAAATTCTAGCCCTCAAATTCTCTAAATTTAAGAAAAGTTTTTGATTGTTTGAAATATGTGAACCTTCCTTGCCTTCCCTTTGAGTTAAATCGATTCGATTTAAATCACAATTTAAATCATGATTTAAATCACTAGTAAAAAGGCTTGATTTAAATCAACTCGATTTAAATCATAATTTTTAAAGAGCAACTGTCATCTCTGTCCCACAGCGGCTCCTCCTCTGACCTGCTGTTGACTCAGACAGTCCCATTCACTTTAATGGGATAGTTGGTGATGCTGCAGTGACATAACAAGGTGAGGGACATGGCGGGCAGCAGGTGACTGGATGCCTGCTAACAGATGCTGCCATGATGGATCTAGAATGACAGGTGCTCTTGCTTGTAGTTAGAATCTTTATTATTATTATTTGCAAACAAAATGAAGCTTTCCTATTTGCCTTGCAGAGCTTGGATTCATTGAATGAGTTTACCAAAAATGTAAATATTGCAGAATATACAGTCTCATACTACATAACTAAGCTTGATTTCATGCTGACTAAACTAAATTATTAATGTATCTTAAATAGAAAACTATATTTAGATTTTTACTCCAAAAGCATTTTATTAAAATAAATTTGATAAAAATAAAAAAAATCCGATTTAAATTAAAAACATCATTGATTTTTATCCACCCTGAAGCAATAGTATACTGTTACATTCAAACAAGTTCAGATTTTTAGGTCTTGTGAGTAGATCATAATGGCACTAAAATTGGATGGGAATAAACGACCTACTAATAAAAAAATAAAACTGGAATAAAATGGAAGAAGCCAAGAGTTATACTAGATAGAAAGTGATCTGAAATATTTCAAGGTTCAATTATAGTTCAATAAGCATAAATTAGCAAAATAAAGAGTTTTGGTCATATTTATTTTTGAATAAATAGATGTACCATGTCTGGAGAAGAACTGGACTACATACATACTAGTGGTATGAAGGTTGAGTGATAGGGGGAGTCCCATTTGTATATACAATGAAGGAGGAAATCCTGCTATTTCTTCTAAATTGTGTGGAAAAAAAAATCTACTTTTTGTCCAAGCCTTGAAGGAACTGTTGGACAGTGATACAAAGGATTTTTTTCCTTGAATTGTCTTCAAAAAAGGCCTTGACATAATTAAAGTTACTCAATGCATTTTAGATAGCTCACCCTTTTTCAAGGATTCCAAAAGCGTATATGTTTTTCTAAGGATAGGCCACTTTCGTTTCCCCATATATATATTAGCTATTCAGTATAAGTTATTTACATATTGAATATAGCAGACCTTCTGTTTTACATAATAATGAGTAGCTGCAAGAGTCAGTACCTTTAGGTTAATTGCAAGAAATGAATATGTCTTTTCTCTGGTCACTCAGTTTTATATTCAGTCTACTCCCAGCCAGTTACTCTTGCCACATGTAGACAAAGACCTTGCTTAGTTTGCTAATATATGCTTGCCAAAAATTGTTCAATTAGATTTTTTTTAATAATGACCAAGAAAGGTCTTTTGAGCATTTAATGTATTGTTTATGATATGATATTCCAGGCTCTTTCCTGCCCCCCTTTTAAAAATCAGGTTATATTAACCTGATTTTATTAACACAGTTTAAAATTTACATTATCAGTTTTATTAAGTATTATAATTTTAGAAATTAGTCAAGAAAATAGCATTTTCAGAATTTTCAGATGAATATTAGCGTGCTGGATTTGTTTCCTAGTGGTGATTTATATTGTTGAAGAATTCAAGGAGAAAATATAAGCAATCGTTTTGCTAAAACCTAATGATCTTTGAAGTTAATCTAATTACTGATTACTGAGAAGTGAATACTGCAGAAATTTATTATAGTTAAATTGATAGATTCTAAAGTCAACATTTATTTAATAGAAATAAAAAAAAACACCTTTGAATGAAGTTTGGGAAAAGGAATATATCAATAAAGTTAGCAATAATTTTAAACATTTGAAAAAAAAAATGTTGATTTTTGCTGATGAAAAATTGATTGATTGAAAAAGCAGGAACTAATTGTTTCAATCTACCATTGCTTGTAGTCACAAGCAAAGCTTTTATTTATTCATTTATTAAATTTATATGTTGACCATCTTTCTGTCCAAATTACTTTTGGTTATTCCCAAGAATTGTTTCACTGTAGTTAAAAGCTGAGTGCACATCTATACATACTTGTGCTAGTTGGATGTATTCGTGCTGATGTAAGTGCAAAAATCTCTAGTCTTGGCAAATTGGAATGACAACTTCTGAAGACAGACTAGACAATGCTGACTCTATGAAAAATAATCTGATGGTATAAGGAAATATCCTGAATATCTAAGGAAATGTTTTAGTAGACAAGGCTATTGCTATTTGCTATTTATGATTGCCAAAAAATAATTGGAGAAATACACCTTTTTCCTAACTGTTTTGCCAACTTATCCATTAATACTACACTAGATGTAATGTAAGAAACACAGGAGGTATATTCTCAGATAATTCAATCCCTAAACATAGTTTTTGTCAGGGAAGAATCTATACTAAGTTTTTTGGAGTTAGGCTTCAAAAAAATAGATTTGCGGTTTCCTACTGTAGTAATATATTTTTGGTCAGAATAAATATTCCTTCAAATTTTGTCTCTCTTGCTTGGATTCTATATGTGGCTTTCTTACTCTTTCTTACTCTTTTTGATTGTTGGTGATTGGAGATACATTTAATTGTCAAAAATCGTGTGTTGTATACTCAAGTCATTCTCTAGAAAGAAGCTTAGCTTTTCAAAAACAATACATAAATCCAGATGGTTTGTGGCTATTTAAGTTTGTTGTATATTGTAGAAACAAAAGAAATCTCCACCTTCTTCTGTTAAAGTATTAACTCTATTCTTTTTTTTAAAAAAATCATAAAACTATATTTGCTTGCTTTTTGCGTATACCACAAAAATAACAGGGAAAGAAAAAATATTGTGCTGTTTGTAGTTAATACCTGTCAAATGTATTAGATTTTACAGCATTCTTTATATGGTTGGATAAATTTTACTTTGGTCTGCAAAATGATCGTCTCACAAAACCGTATCTCAATGCATATAAAAAAAAAAAGAGTAAAAGAAATAGCTGGATGCTATTCTTGGCTTTATATAAACAAAACAAAGCTATATAGTTATTGTCGAAATCTCTAGCTGAGGACTGAGCTATGCTGCGTTATATAATGTGCTGTTCAGTAACATAATGTACAATGGTCTTTGGGTGTAAAGACTAACAGAACAGAATAACAGAAGTTAGAAGGGACCTTGGAGGTCTACTAGTCCAACCCCCTGTTCAGGCATTTCAGACAAATGGTTGTCCAATCTCTTCTTAAAAACTTCCATAACTTCTGGAGGCAAGTTGTTCCACTGATTGATTGTTCTAACTGTCTCCTTGGTTCTAGGTTGCTTCTCTTCTTGATTAGTTTCCATCCATTGCTTCTTGTCCTGCCTTCATGTGCTTTAGAGAATAAGTTGACTCCCTCTTCTTTGTGACAACCCCTTAGATATTGGAACACTGCTATCATGTCACCCCTAGTCCTTCTTTTCATTAAACTAGACATTCCAGCAACTGTCCTTTATATGTTTTATCATCCAGACCTCTAAAAATCTTTTCATCTTTATACGTAAAAAACATCCAAATACAGACAATGCTTAAGATATATAAATTCCCTCTGAGTATATTTTCTCAGTTGAAAATATATCTATTGTGTCAACATCAATTGGCTTTCCCCAAGAATATATATTATTTGCGGTCTCTTTTGTTATGTTTTTTTCCATGTTGTGCTTAATATATTAGCAAATAAAAAGTCAGCAGCTGGGCATTGAATTGGAGGTTTTTGAACTGAATTTGTGACAAGTGAATGCCATCCTGAGCTGCTGGAATAACTTTAGATATTTGCAGATAACTTTTTTTTGGCTTCAGGATGTATTATGTATTTCTTCTTTTAACTATGATAAAGTATCATCTACATTCAATGATTTCATAGACCAGAGATGAACAGAATGATACTTATCTGACCTACAGTAAGTATTCTGAAATTTTATGAAATCACAAAATCTTACATCATTCCATAAGATGTCTTAATAATTTGAGAGCTCATAATTTGGTGAGTCTGAGATCTTTGCTAATTTTGTGTGTGCGTGTATGTATCATTGCAAAAAGATGCTGACCCTCATGTCATATTTATTTATTTAGCTGTTCTGGGCTACATGTCTGACATTTTAATGTCTAATTTCTTTATTTTTCTTTTTCCTTCTATCCAGGCATTCCTTCAAAGAATAATGCAGTGGGCTATTACTAAGATTGATAAAAATGTAACAGAGGAAACGGTTAAGGTTAGTATTTATTTGTTTTCACTTCCTTTTCATTGTTTCTCAAATTGATTTATTTATACTCTTGGTTTCTTACTTACAGACATTGTTCTCAAATATTGAAGATATTCTAGAAGTTCACAAGAACTTCCTATCTAGGATTGAAGAATGTCTGCATCCTGAACCTAATTCGCAACAAGAAGTGGGATCCTGCTTTCTCCACTTTGTATGTCAAATCCAGTAATATAAGCTTTATGTAATTGATTATATTCTTTTCTCCAGTACTGCCTTTTTTAAAAAAAATAATTGCTGGCATGGTAGTTCATGTATACTCCACTTAGAGGACAAAATGATCTTGATTGCATAATTTATGAGATCTTTTAAGGACGCTTGGAAGCTGAATTTGCAGCCTATTCAGTAGAAAGTGTAGGCGTCATCATGATTTTCATGAATCAGGCCTAACATATTTGAACAATAATCACTTTTTTTACATTTGTCTTGAATAACTTTCTCCTCCAGTAATACACAGATAACATTTTTTTTACACTAGAACATATTGGATATGTACGTGAACAGCAGTAATTTCACTGACTTTAAAATGCACAGTTTTGTAAAATTACACTAGATATTCATTGTGCTATAGGTACCATATGGGAGCCTGATCTTAACCATGAGAAGATACAAACACTTCCTTGAACCTAATTATAAAACTAAAATAAAAAAAATAATAAATTGATTTGTATTGATTTTTTATAAATTGATTTGTCAACATGTAAATATTTGTTGTAAACCAATTGTATTTTATATTAGCTCACAGACACTGTATTTGTTTATATTTTTATTTACATTAAAAATATCTGTTAAAATATGACCAAAATAACTAATCTAAAAACTTTTTATTCAGAGAGACAGATTTCGTATCTATGACGATTACTGCAGCAATCATGAAAAAGCACAAAAGCTTCTGCTTGAACTTAATAAAATAAAAACAGTACGGACATTTTTACTGGTAAATAAATATTTTTTTTGTATTCTATATCTCTATCTTCTGGTTTGTGCAGTAATTTGATTGCAATTCACTTCTAAGGAAAGCCAGTTTGGTTAATGCGTTGGGCTAGAAACCAGGAGTCTGTGAGTTCTAGTCCCACTTTAGGCATAAAGCCCACTTGTGACCTTGAGCCAATCACTTTTCTCAGCCCTAGGAAGGATGGAAAGGCAAATCACTTAAGAAGTGTTGCCAAGAAAATTTCAGATACTAATCCAGGCAGTTTCCAGGAGTCAGCAATGATTCAAAGGTGTGCAGATGTGTGTGTGTGTATGTTTGTGTGTGTGTGTGTGTGCACACATACATTTCCAAGTGATATGTAAGCTTTTGAAAGCTAAATAAATAAAGAGAGTTCTGCTGGATAAGAATAAGTGCCCACTCTATTCATCACCCTGCTTCCCAGAACTTACAGCTACTCAAATGTTATTAACTTTTAAATTAATCCTAGTTAGCATGGTGAACAGAAATGAAGTGTTGTTTTCAGGTAGTGCAACTTTGTTCTCTGCTCAGTACATTCTTTTCCTATTTCTACCCCACAACAGGTATTGCACTAAAGCTTAATGAGGATGTTACATATTGACAATGTGGCTAATAGCTATGAATAAAATGGCTTAGACCAGGGGTGTCAAATTAAATTTCATTGAGGGCCGCATCAGGGTTGTGTTTGACCTCAGGGGGCCAGAGTGGGCATGGCCAGGGTGGGCATCACCAGCTTGACATTGCTTGTGTCAGGGATGCCTATGGTGGCCCGAGTGCTCTGCCAGTGAAAACGGGCTCCCAATCTCCATTTTCGGCTGAGACGGCCTCCTGCAACCCTCTGCCAATGAAAACAGAGCTCTGTTTTCACTGGCAGAGGTTTGCAGGAGGCTATCCCAGCCGAAAATGGAGATTGGGAGCCCGTTTTCACTGGCAGAGACACCACGGGCCGATCCTTCTCTCTTTCCAGGGTGGCTCCACAGGCTGGATCTAAGCACGCCCTGGGCCGGATCTGGCCCCCGGGCCTTGAGTTTGACACCCTGGCTTAAACCAATAAAATGGCATATAATTACCTGATCCTATAATTGTGAATCCTATAAATTCATTATGTGCTAAGAGATGCATTGTCCATTGTTCTGAATTTGAATTGATAATTTTGACTTTGTATCAGTGCTGAACAGCAGTTTACCTTTGGCTTTAAAAGCAAAGGATGATTAAGTCAGAACTTTACCATAATATATATATATATATATATATATATATATATATATATATATATATATGTATATATGTATGTATGTATATATGTATATATGTATATATGTATATATGTATAATACAAAGTTTTGCTCTGCAGTTAATTAAAATTTCACTGTTTTATTATAAACAAATACTGGTTACATTATATTATCAAGTATAAATTATATTTTCCCCGGTACTATGTGAGGTCTGCTCTATTTCATTTTATCTGTGTCTGTGAAAGATACTCAGGAAGTATGCCCAGGCAAAAACCTACCAAATCTCAATTATATTTTTGCTTCACAAATTATTTCTAAGTGATGTATATAGCTAAAACAGACAAATACATATGATTTAATTCCTTTCTTAGAACTGCATGCTGTTAGGAGGACGAAAGAGTACAGAAGTACCTTTAGAAGGTTACTTGGTAACACCAATCCAGAGAATATGCAAGTATCCTCTTCTTTTGAAGGTATATATTTTTGTTTAAAGAAGTGTGAAAATATGTTCTTCTTCTGAATATATTATATTTTACGTGGAAATTGTTTTATTTTCTGAATTTTGTTTGTCATTTGGAAATAAAAATCTGTTTGCACAAACAAATGAGATTATTGTTTACTGAAGGGTATAATCATACCCATTATGCAGAGAAACAAATGATGGAACCTAGTATGCCAACACTATTGAGATCCTTCCTATGAAATAAAGATACCTGGACAGAGATTTTTTGGGGAAAGAACTTGGCCATTGCTAGGAAGAAACTTCTTTGTGCCTATAAGTTTTCTTTTTTCGACTGGAAAAATAGCTGGACACTGTTTTGGGACTTGTTTAGGGGACCACACTTCTACTTAACTCCTTTCATGTATAATAGTGCCTACAATTATCCAATTGTGAGGTGACATGGAGATGAGTGTTGCTGTATAATGCTTGCAGGTCTAGAATGAGTCACGGTGATGCACAAGAAGTAATATACAAAGGTTTTCTTTGTCACTAACTACATCTGCTGCTAAAGTAGGAGCTGTGAGTCTAGGAAAAGAGGCAGTTCCATATGGGGAAGTACAACGTATTTGTTTGTTTGACTAATTTATATAGCTGTCCATTTCATCCATTTCACTAAACAAGTAACTCTGAGAAGTGTTTATAAATGGAATCCTGTCCAGAACTATGAAATGGAATAGAATGGAAAAATGGAATTCTGTCCGCAAGTATGGATGGACCATTTCTGGAGTCATTGTACTTCTATATAGTAGTCCGCTTCAGATCTCCTCCATTTTTACAACTGAATAATTTTGAATAAAGTTCCTGGTTGACTATTTGCAGATGCAGTAATAACATAAATCGTATGTAGGCATAAATGCCCCTCTTCATTGCATGGCTTCTGATGATATAAAATATTAGAACTGAATATTTTGGTATTTGATTATAGCTGTTATAAAAATAGTGAAAATATGAATCCAAATGAAACAGGATTCCAGCATCTTAAAGACTGGAATTGGAAACTATGCATTTAATGAAAATGGATAATATTGCTAATGCTAACTCATGATTTGTTTGATATCACAATCTTAAAGTGCCTACCCATGTTTCCCTGAAAATAAGACCCTGTTTTATATGTTTTTGAACCCTGAAATAAGCGCTTGGCCTTATTGCCATGCGCTCAAAAGCCCGATTGGACTTATTATCAGGGGTTGTCTTATTTTGGGGAAAACAGGATATAAATTTAACAGAATTTATTTCCAAATGAATAGGCATTGTTTTATAGTTTTATCATGAAAGTGAAATTTTAATAATTGACTTCCATTTTGAGAAGAGTATAAGAATTGATTTTATTATTCTTTTTTAAAAATAGGAATTGTTAAAGCGTACTCCCAAAAAGCACAGTGACTATTCTATCTTAATGGAAGCTCTCCAAACAATGAAAGCTGTTTGTTCCAACATAAATGAAGCCAAGAGACAGATGGAAAAATTAGAGGTTTTAGAGGAATGGCAGTCTCACATTGAAGGATGGGAGGTAAATGTATTATATTAGCAAATGTGGAAGAAACAAGAACTCTGTACAATTATTCTTATATTCTGCACAGGACATTATCATACACAGTTAGAATACATAATTGTTCTTTGTTTTATTTAGTAAATTGTTATCTTTGTGACACCTGATCAATCCACATCTGGTTTATTAATAACAGAAATTTCAAATGAAGAGTTTTTGGTGCCAAGCCTCCAGAAATTTCCTAGCATTTTTGGACTTAGCTTGGTTTATACATTCACAGTTATTTAGTTGAAAGTATGATTAAATCTACATATAAACAACTTTTACACACCATTCAAAAGAGACAATGAAAAAGCTCAAAAGGAAACATTTGATCCTGCTGGACTTGAGGAAGTGGACAAGTCCTCGGTACTGTCAGTGCAACTACCTGCCAAGTAGATCTTTGTCCCTCTTGCTAGGTTGACTAGCAGGTGGGCTCAGGTGGCGATCAATTCTTTACTGCTGGACAGGATTTTTGGAGGGCCTTTTAAGGAGTAATTAGTTTGCCTCCTCAAAAAACCATCACCAGTCTGAACAATTTTTATCCAGTTTCTCTTCCCTTTTTAGAGAAGGTGGTAGAAAAGTGATTGCTTGGCAACTTCAGAGACTCCTGAATGAACTGGATTATATGGACCCCTTTTAGTCAGGCTTCAGTCCAGTTACAGCCTCAGTCACACTTGTGATGATCTCTGGTGAGAGCAGAATAAGAGTAGTGCAACCATCCTTGTTCCCCTTGAGCTCTCAGCAGCCTTTGATACCATCAACAATGGTATTCTATGAGGTCTGGACTGGGAAGCACAATTTTGTGCTGGTTCGGCTCCTTTCTCCAAGGCCGGTCCCAATCAGTGTTGATAGAAATGAAAGATTGAGGTGTATGCCAGTTGCGGCCTTTCCTGGATCAGCAGTCCCTTTTTATCTCATCTTTGGACTATTACAATTATATGGGCCTGCCTTTGAAGAGAATTCGGAAACTTCAACTGTTGCAGAGTGCCAGAATGCTGAACTAGAAATATTCTCCTCTATTGGTAGAAATTTCAAGACTGAGCAAGTGGAAAATGGAAAAATGACAGCCACAGGTTTCCCTTACAAACTATATTTTCTATTGAGCGGAGGGCAGGAATTTTAAATAATGTGAATTTCCTTTTCAAATAATTTCAGAATAGAGAAGCATACATTGAGGAAAAATTGTTTCTTGCCTCTTTCTCAAAATGATTGCTTATAGGACATGACTCCTAAAAATCCTTATATTAGTTAGGAATTTTTGAATTAGGTTTTTTGGGGGAACCTTTTTTCAGTTCAGTTTTCACAGTTTTCACTGTGGTAGTAGAAACAAGAATGGTGCAAAGTTTTTAAAAAATGGCTAAAATGGAAGCACATGCCTTTCCAAGAAGAAAAGCAAAAAACTTTATGGTAAGTAAGTTCCTGATGTAATCATTGCATTGGTTTCTGTACTATGACAGAAGTATGAAGTAAATTCAAAAGACTGGAGATAAAAATAACTGATCTAGAAGAAATTACTTCAAAGAAGATACAAAATAGGTCTGAATATTTTTGGATGAGAATATAAAAGAAGATTCAGCAGAAGAGTATAATAGATGAAGCGAATCACAGTACCTGATCAAATAGAAGTTTAATGAAAGCAGAAAAGAAATAATCTGTATTGGCCAGAGAATGAAACTATAGAGCTTTTTCTCATATGCTGCTAAACAATGTTTATTAGATTTTAGCTTAGTATTAACCCAAACCCAGTCAATACTGATTTTATAATGAAATTGCACTTCAGCAAACTATGCCTTTGTATGATATATGAACTCAGTCACCATCAGCTTGGCTTCTCTTTAGCTGGGTCTGTGAATGAATGAACAGTTACTCTGTTTTCCACCAAGATGAATACAATTCATGTGCTGTTTTCTCCTCCTTTTTCTCATTTCACTTATTATTCTATATTGAGTACACAACAATTAGAAACAAAACCAGTAGGCAATAAAAACATGTAATCAACTTAATACTGTATATTAGTGATAAATAGTTAAAATATCATTATAAGACTATGATCTGTCACATCATTTTGAATGCAGATTTCCCAATTAATCAAATAGATGGAAATAAAATGACATATTGACCACTGATAATGATATCAGTAGCTTAGAATAGGTTTTGTGTGGAACAACATTCAGTACATCAGAGTTTTCATAAGATAAAGGGACAATAGCTTAGTAGCTAAAGAATTGCTTTGCATATCAAAGTTCCTGGTTCAATCCTTGGCATCTTAAATTTTTCTTTTTAAAATATAATATAATTGTTTAGGAATTGGAATTGGCAATTAATTAAATGGTTGCTAAGTAAAATGACAACTGTGCTTATGATCTTACTTCAGCCTTCCTTTACTTTACAGACCTGCAGAAGTCATAAATGCAAGGAATGGCCAAAAAATTACTTTTTGCAGCATCATCATAACTGCAAACACTTGTAGAAGGTGGTCGCTAAATGAGGATTACTTGTAATGAGGTTTCTGGAATGTCCATTGTGACTCCAAATAGCTGGTACTAGTTAAAGTCAATCATTATTACAGATAGCTAGATAAATATATATGATAACACTGTTCTATACTGAAAACATATTACCAGATAATTATGAATTACTAGTGAAGGCCTGTTACATTACACCTTCATAAATACCTTCTTAAGCAAAGTATATTTTAGTTACAATTTAGTTGCTAAATGTTTAAGAGTCAACTTTCTTCTAATGAGAGATAATGATCTCATTTAAAAAAAAATCTACCACATTTATGAGGCATTTCTTTAATAAACCTTTCTGTACTAAAACAGCAGCTTTAATTAACAGAACATCTGGTTTGCTATAAGGCTTAAGAACAGAAAAATATACTTGTTAGAGATTTTCTGTCAGAAGAAAATGTTTAGCGTGTTGCTTACTTAGAAAAAAGCTATTTTTAGTATCTGATGGAAGATCAAAGCATGACTTGAATTCCAATGCAAAAGTGTCATAAATTGAGCTTGGTTAATGATTATAATTATATAATTATAATTGTAGAAAAGCAGACAACTTGAAAAATACATTTTAAAATTTATTTTTTTCTTCTTTAATGGTACACTCTCCAAATGCAGTTGTATTGAGTGGGTATTTTTATTGTAGAATCATAATTGTTAAAATAACTTGCTTTTTTGTTTTGACTTCATGACAGAAAAAAATAGGATATTTTGAATTAATGCAAGCTGATAGCTTTCTTCATGCCAGCGGATGATTTCACCCATGGTTCTAAGCAGATGTTAAAGAGGAGTGGGGAGAGGGTGGTGCTCCTCTGAGGAACTCCACAACCCCCCCTTAACTTGGCAATGGCAGCGGGTGGTTCGGAGAACCGGTAGCAAAAATTCTTGCACCCCCCCTCCACCATGCCCAGCTGAGCCGCACGATCATCAGAGGCTTTTTTTTTTAACTTTTAAAAGCATTTTTTCTGCAACCTCTTCCAATGAAAAAAATGCTTTTAAAAGTAAAAAAAAAAAGCCTCTGATGATTGCGCTGCTCAGCTGGAATTGTCAGAGGCTTTTCAAAGCATTTTTTTCTGCAACTTCTTGGCCGAAGAGGGGGTAAAAAAAATGCTTTGAAAAGTCTCTGACGATCCCAGCTGAGTTGCCTGATCAGCAGAGGCTTTTCAAAGCATTAGAAAAAATGCTTTGAAAAGTTAAAAAAAAAAAAAGTTGGCCATGCCCACCCAGTCATATTACCCACCACCACCACCAAGCCATGCCCACAGAACCGGTAGTAACAAATTTTACATTTGACCCCTGCATATAACTGATACATTTCTAAGAGGACTGAGGGCCAGAACACTTAAATGAGAAAAATTGTATGGAAGACTGAATCTTTTTTCTATAAATAATAACACATGATGCTCTTACTTTTATCCTTTGCAGGCATTTTATTGATTGCTTATGCTTCATAAGTTAATAATAAACCATACTTAATTGCATTTCTACTTAAGGGATCTCAAATAGCAAAGCAAATTAATACTTGTTATATTAACACAAGGAACTTGGGCAGAATCAGGATGAAATTATTTCTCTAATTTTGATTTGGCAGAATCACTAAACCATTATTTGGCAGCTGGGATATAAAGATAAACTATTAGGTGATAGGCATTATATCACATTAGATATAATGTGAATAAGTATGTATGCAGTGATATGAGTACAGAAAAGCCAAATTTGATTAGTTATGCTAATGATTTCACTCATAGCATCCTATAAGTCGTATATGATACTACAGTATTTTGTGCTGCAACAAAGCAGTATGAAATAGCTAACATGTTTAAATAAGTCTCCAAGAAAGCACTAAGAAACATACTGCCTGCAGCAAACCTTTTCTCTAGAGAGCCTATTAAAAATATATTTGCAATTACATCAATGAAAAATGTTAGCCATTATTTTTAGAATGTCATAATCCTTAAATCAGCAAAATTCTACTTTCTTCAGAATGAACCTACTTCTTCATTCTGATCTAAGCACATACGGTGAATATTTTGCTTAACCCGTTTTATTTTAAAGCAAGTTTCAGCGATTTCGAGAATGTTTATTTAATCAAATTATTTAGATGTGCAGTCAACATTTTCCTATATCCAAATTATTATGGTTTCAGTTCCAAAGCATACACAGTTCTTTGAAACCATCTCTTCAAAAGATGTCTCCAAGAACAAAGCTAAAACCCATCTTAAGACAGTTTCCAGATTTTTTGGTAGGGCAGCGATTGAACACATGCTTTGGGTACAAAAATTCCTATTGGTATATAAAAATATCAGGAGCAATTGGAATGAAAAGGTACCTGTTACCCTAATGGTAACAAGGAAAACTCTTCCTCCTCCAGTGACATTGAATTCATTTCTTTGTTCTCTCTGATTGGGAATAAGTGATTTAAAATTTCTTTATGAGAGGAGTTTAAAGGGATCCTCTGAAAAATTTAGTTTCCTGGTTTTAAAAGGATCTTTTTATTAAGATGGTATTTCCAGATAATGCAACATTAGTCTGCATAATAAACCAGTTTTTAGTTTAGTTTACTTTACTTTATTATCTTTGCACCTCGTACAATGAAATTAAATGGTATCTTCAGTGTACATTATAACTATAAAAATAAAACACAAACATACATCCTTCACATTCTATACAATTGAATTGAAAACCCGATATTGCATTAGTATTGCACGATACAGAGGAATTCAATATAGTTACTGGGATAGAAGCTCTTTTTCAGCCTATTTGTCCTTGTTTTTATTATCTTGTACTGTCTGGCAGATGGTAAAAGTTCAAAAAAAGAGTGCCCAGGATAAGATGGATCTTTAAGAATGTTTTGAACTTACTTAAGGCAGCAGGAGCTATAAAGTTCTTCCAAAGAAGGGATAGGGCAACCAGTGATCCTCTGGGTAATGACATTAACCCTCTGGAGTGCTATCCTATGTGCTACTGTGCAATTGGCAAACCATACACAGATGTAGTAAGTAACTCTCTATGGTGCAGCGGTAGAAGGAATCAGCAGTTTTCCATTCAGTTGTTGTTTCCTGAGAAGTCTCAGGTAGTATAATTCTGCTGGGCCCTTATGATAAGTGCTGCAATGTGAGTACCCCAGATCAGGTCCTCTTTTAAGATAACACTCAAAAACTTAAAACTGGCCACTTGCTTCACTCGGTCTCCATTGATAAGCAAGGGCTGGATGTCTGATCTATTCCTTCTATAGTCCAAGCTCCTTGGTCTTATTGGTGTTAAGGACCAAGATATTGTCTCCACACCACGAAAGCAACTGGTCCATCTCATTTTTAAATCAAGATAGGTAGATAAAGTGAATAAGAATTCGTGATTAAGATAGCTTTCTAAATACTAAATCCACTTTGATGTTTTAGCTAAATGCATTATGTTTGTAGAGAACTGAGTATTTCTTCGGTTTGTCTGTTAAATTTTGGGTCCACATAACTGTTATTTTCATGTTTCTTTGCTAGGGGTCTAACATCACCGACACTTGCACAGAAATGCTGATGTGTGGTGTTTTGTTGAAAATCTCAGCAGGAAATATACAAGAACGAGTGTTCTTTCTTTTTGACAATCTTTTGGTCTATTGCAAAAGAAAGCATAGGTGAGACACAATTATTGATTTATGCTTTTAAGACTGAACATATATAAATTATCTGAATTTAAATGTTTAAAAATATATTTGAATATTTTAACTACTATAATACTCAGATAATGACAATTCTAGAAGTACAAGGTTTCATCGAATGCAAAACAACAATTATTTTAGAATAAAAGTTTAAGGCTATAAAGCATGCTTTTTTTGCATTGCAACCAAAATTTCTTATTAAAATGATATTGATTTATTTATAATTATTACTAAATTATAAAATTATCTGCAACAGCGTTAAATAAAATGAGGTCTGGATAGTACTCATTTTTTGGTGTATAAATAATTGCTAATACTAATAAACAACCTGAAGTGACCTGAAGTGCAGCTAGTACTTTTAATATTTGTACAATACTTTTCTTTAATTAGACGACTGAAAAACAGCAAAGCATCTTCAGAAAGTCATCGATACCTTTTCCGAGGCAGAATAAATACAGAGTTGATGGAAGTTGAGAATGTTGATGATGGCACAGGTATATGAATATACATCACTTTCTTAACTATTGTTATCTATTGGATGCTGTCTCATATAATAATACAAGTAATCCTCGCTTAAAGATGGTAATTGAGACTAGCAACTCTGTCACTAAGTGATGCGGTTGTAAAGTGTGATGTCACATGACTGCACCAATGTACAACAAAGATTGCACCAGTTCCAGTTGCCATGGTTCAGCAAATGCTGCAGAGCTGTGAAGTGCAACATCACATCATCGCTATTTGCGACCTCCTGCTGGCTTCTCCATTGACTTTGCTTGTTGAAGGCATTAAAGGTAACCCAATGGCAATCACATGATACTGGGATGCTGAGACTGTTGTAAGTTAAATCAGGTTGCCAAGCAACAGAGACATTATGACAGTCTCAACTACAAGTCTTAAGTCTCCTTTTTCAGTGCTGTTCAGTGCTATGATAACTTTGAATGGTTGCTGAATGAGTGGTTGTTAAACGAGGACTATCTGTAACAATTTCAATAACTTATGCAGTTATTTTATGTAAATAAATTTGGCATAAATGGAAGACCAAAGTTTATACAAATTGAAGAATTATGTTCCTATTTATAAACAATGGCCCCTGATTTTTATTAGGTCCTAATTGTGTGAAACTGTAATGAAGCAGCGTATTCCAAGGATTCATCTAACCTGCCCGATCCAATTGGTTTGGCAGATACTATAAACAGGCAGCATCTTGAATTGCAGCACCATGTAGAACACATTGCAGAAGGCAGATTGTGAGGTGTCCAAGGCATGAATGACTCTCTTTTTTAATAGAAACTGTCATTTCTGTTCCAATGTTATTTAGGACATGTTTTGTTTTTGTTTGTTTTATTTTAATCTTTTGGTAAATGCATGGATTTTCCTAAGCCTAGCATTGCTGTTTAGATAACAGAAAGAAATTTGATTTGGTTTGGTTAGGCAGGATTCATAATTTTGAGTGGGCAGTCAAAAATTAAATGAATTATAACTTCCTCCCGATTCTTAAACCATTTTAAAATTTTCATAAAACATAGAAGGAAGCACACAGATGCCAGCATTTATCTGGGGAAGTTTTGCTTTAAGTAAGAGCACATTGTAATGCTTAGGGTGAGTTCAGAAGCCATTTTGTACAGTTCAGAACATTTAGTAGCCATTGGATGGGAAGTACATCTCAGATTTTCCTTTCTGTGATCATTTTTCAGCTGATTATCACAGCAGTGGCCACATTGTTCTCAATGGTTGGAAGATACACAACACAGCAAAGAATAAATGGTTTGTGTGTATGGCCAAAACATCTGAAGAAAAGCATGAATGGCTTGAAGCTATCCTAAAAGAAAGGGAAAGAAGAAAAGGTGAGAACATGAATTTTATTTCTATACACTCTCACACCTGGAGTGTCAAGAGAAATTTCCTGACAGTGAAAACAATTAGTCAGTGGAATAGCTTGCCTTCAGAAGTTGTGGGTGCTCCATCAGTGGAGGCTTTTAAGAAGAGACTGGACAGTCTAAAATGGTATAGGGTCAATTGCTTGAGCAGGGAGTTGGACTAGAAGACCTCAAAAGACCTTTCAGCTCTGTTATTCTGTTAATTCCTTTTCCTTACATTTCTCATCTGAAGGATGTAGAACAGCAATAGCTTGGAACCTCTGTTCCTATACCTCCTGGCAACACCAACTACTTTTCCCAGCAAGATCTAGTAAGTGAATAAGATCCTTAAGTGTTATCCTGTTGGATATTCCTCTGATGAGAAGGATAGAAAAGAAGTGGAGTTAGACATCTAGGGATATGATGTGTGTGTCTCTAGTAATGATGAAGCCAATGACTTCTCTCTGGTTGAGTTAGATCAGGGGTATGCAACCTTAAACACACAAAGAGCCATTTGGACCCGTTTCCCACAGAAAAGAAAACACCGGGAGCCACAAAAACCTTCCCGTGCCTGACTATTTCTTGAATGGCCACAAAACTAGCATATGTAGTTGAATTAAACGTTCTGTTTTCTTCTGAAAATTTCTTTTCTTGGATTTATCCATGGTTGGCCTATCGGGGCTTGAAAAGCTCAATAAATCGTATGCCGGTAGGAGTCACACATTGGCTTTTGTGACACATATTTTGTTTTCTCCCCCAAATAATTTTTAAAAAATCCTATGCAGGTGATTGCTTAATGTTTACAAAGCAAGTATATCTATATTAGTCTTGGAACTACTTATTCTTTCTATACATTACTTGCAAGCAAAAAACCAACAACCCTCAGACTCTTCATCTTTGGGCAGTTAATGTTGATATAAACTGGCAAAGTTTTGTAAAAAGAATTCTTACTTGAAATTCATTCTTTCTCTATTTCCATCCCCTACTCCTCTCTAACATATAATTGTGGAGTTTTACAGATGAATCAAAGTTTGTGCAGATGAATCAAATTTTGTAGTAACATTATTCAGCAAGGAACAATAATTGGTGAGAGCACCAGAATAATCCAGGGCATTGAAGCTGGGGTGGGAGAATGTAATTTTGATCCCACACGAAGATTTTTACATTGTTTTAATTTGATAAGCAAAGTAGGTTTTCAGGCACTGTAGAAAATTATAGCCAACAATGAGGGAACCAAAATAAGAGCAAGAATCAGGTTATTCATCACATTAGTTCTCAAAATGAAAGCTTCTGAAACATTTATATAGGGATTCTCTTTCGATAATCTATATATATAGCTCAGTCATCCCATCTCCAAAACATCTGTTTAAATATATATTTTACAAATCAGGATGCACTGACTTAATTACGTATGGAATAACAAATGATTCATAGATAAAACAGTTTGCAGAATTCAAATGCCTTCACTAAAAGTAGTTGTAAACAACATTCCATTCACCCTGAATAAAAAGGAGCTTTGGTTTATTTTATAATTCTATTCATGTTCATGAATATAAAGCAATTGAAAAACTTTACATAAGTGTAAGTGAAAAGGAAATTTAGCTGACTACTTTCTGAAGTAGTGAGATTATGATCTTAAAAGATATTATTAGCTTTCTTTCTTCATAGATTTTGAGCATTGTGTGTATTCTATCACAATGGAATATTACTGAATTATTTTTGCAATTCTATTCATGTTTAATTGCATTTTAATGCTCAATCTGTTAGCTGCTTTGAATATGCCGTGAATATAAAGATGGAGTACATTTGAAAAAATGCTACATATAAAAACTTAAAAAGATTTTTAATGCTTAAAAATAGTACATAAAATATTCTGTTCTCTGCCTCTGCAGTCACAATAGCCTCGAAATGGGTGGCCTGTAAAGCATTTATGGCTGTTGTAAAACATTGGGCCACCCCTCACATGACTGCATGACTGATCTCATTTGCCTAATAACTGCAATGCTGATGTAATTTGCTAAACCAAAACCAAACAAACCTTATAGTTTACCATAATATGCACTAAACCAGTGCAAATAAAATCCTTGCTCTTTCTAGAAAACTGTAAGTTGAACCCAACCTTATTCAGGAAGGTTCAGCCTAGTATGAGCTACTAGTGTGTGTGTGTTTGTGTGTCTGTGTGTGTATTATATGGATGTATTATGCCAGTGTTTAGGCTTTGTCTTCATAATCCAGTTTTTTAATCTGACACTATTGGCTCCCTAGTTTCCCTGACAACTATTTGGCTAGTCCATTCAGCTTTTGAAATGATTTTCAGATAAAAGTCCTTGTGAATGGGGATCTTTACATTTATTGTGTATTTGAAAAGGAGCTTTCCTAGACTTGTTTCTTGAGATTATCTTAACACTGAATACACTATACTAGAAATTTTAACCTGAATCTTTCAGTACTCTGTGTATCTCTCTCTCTCTCTCTCTCTCTCTCTCCTCTCTCTCTCTCTCTCTCTCTCTCTCTCTCTCTCTCTCTCTGTGTGTGTGTGTGTGTGTGTGTGTGTGTGTGTGTATTTGTTTATAGAAAATCATGTCTGGAATGATTTGTTTGAACTTGTCCAGCTGCTCTTGGAAATGTTTACTATTCTAATTTTAAAAGTCTTTAAAGTAAATCACAAATTATTTTACATTTAATGTTACTAAGATTGAAAACTGAAGGACACACCCCACGCCCCACAATAGATAGATAGTAATATATTATTTGGAAACATTTCAAAATTATTATATTGTGATTTGTTTTTCAGGGTTAAAACTTGGTATGGAACAAGATACATGGGTGATGATCTCTGAACAAGGAGAAAAACTTTACAAAATGATGTGCCAACAAGGGAATTTGATCAAAGACCGAAAGAGAAAATTAACCACTTTTCCAAAATGTTTCCTTGGAAGGCATGTGTTTAATATTTGAGTTTAAAAATTTGTCTCATTATTTTAATTATTATTTATCAAATTAGATAAATAAAATGGTCAGACTGTTTAGGATTTCTGCTTTAGTCCACATATTCTCACTCAGACGCTAACTAATGAATTGCTTAACTCAGTCTGGGTATTGACTATTCTACACAATATTCCTGAAAAGAAGCCAGCAGATATTATACAAGTATACAAATGTTTTTGAAATGATGATATAAATAAATACAATGGAATCTGTCTGTCTACCTGTCCCCCAAGCTTTAAAAATGCAGTGTTGAAACGATAAATGTTATTTTACATATGCAAAAAGTAATTGGTGAATTGCTTCTCTGTCTTTCATGTGAATAGAGTTCTGTCCTATAGTTTAGAATATTAAATAGAATGTGTTATGTGTTACAGCCATTTTTTAAATGGATCAACAAGACAGAATAGCATAAATATCTCTTTTTTGGCCTTGTCAAATATAAAGTCATTTTATAAAACATAAGGTAGTATTTTACATATGGTATTAAAAGAAGATAAAATATTGGTTGGGGGTTTGGCCAATCAATCAGAACACACCTCCACCCAATCAGAACACAGCCAAGCTCCCACCAATCAGTTCACACCCCCACTGGCAGTTAAAAGGAAGAAACAGCTGCGATCACACACATTGCTCCTAGAAGCACGAAGCCGAAGACACCAGCCTGAAGATGACGAATGAGACTTCATCGAAACGTTGCCAAGAAACCTCCAATTTTACGCAGGAGAAAACCCGAATAACCAAAGACCTACATACAAACACCCGCAAAAACCTCAGAACACACACACACACACACACACATATATATGTACACATATATGTACACACACACACATATATATATATACACCATACACACACACATAATGCACAACCTATTTTTCACCTTTTTTATGGAGATAGTCTCAGGTATCTTACTGAAGATGAGTGCTATTTTGTTTAATTAATAAAAATATCGTATAATGAAATTGATTAAATATTGCTTCAAGGAATGTCAGATTCTTCCTGCAGCCCAGACATTTGCCTCACCAAACTATCAATGCAAAACAAGCTTTAAGTTCTGGCAATAGTTTGTACCTATGGACATTAATGAAGTCTGATCAGACTTCATCAAGTTTACATAACCATAAACTCTCACTTAATTCTTAATACCTTCTTACTGAAGTTTACACAGTTGTTCCCTTACCTTTTGAGACAGGGCACATATGAAAATTATAATGTGAACTGTAAAACGACTTATCATAATTAAAAAACAAATTTCCCCCGATGCACCTCAGAAAAAAAGGGGTGCTGAGGGAATAGAATACTTGCCCCAGTGCCATTACCTTTGATTTATTACTTCATCTAATACAGCCTTCAGTTCTTCCAATAATATTAAATGCAGCAACATTTTATTGACCCTTACTTCATTATAGCTGTTAAAGAAACAAAAAATTATGAATTCTAAAACCACAAATTTAGATTTTAATCTAAATGATTCTCTCAGAATCATTGTACTCAGAGCAGTTTATTCATGAATAGACGTGGATTGGATTACACCATTAATGAGGAAAATGTATTCTGTTGCTTTTTTAGGAATTTTACTTTTTTTACTACATTTAACTTTGATGTTTTAAAATAATTTTTGTCTATCTGCTTTTTTCTTAATTAGTGAGTTTGTATCTTGGTTATTGGAAACTGGAGAGATTCACAGACCTGAAGAAGGTGTTCATCTTGGTCAGGCTTTGTTAGAGAACGGCATTATCCACCATGGTAAATAAGTTGCCTTTTCTAACAATGATTTGCAAACATTTAACTTTTTTTACTTGTCAGTAGGTATACAGAGTACTTAATGGTTTATGAGAATAACATTTGTTGTAGCCAAAAGTAACAGAATAAGTCTTTGGAAGAGTGAGGTCCTTGATGGTCTGAGTTTGATTGTTTTCTGATGAACATTTCATTACCAACTAGATAACATCATCACTATCTTTGGAACTATTCTAGCTTTTAGTTTTCAGTTTTAGCCTGGTATATATTATATCCATGTTGAATCCAAATGATATTTAAGAGTTTACATGGATCTGATATTTTCTCTTTTGTCTTTTATAGCTTGTCCCATACTTTACTGTTTTTGTTTTTGTCTTATTATTTTATGCTGGTTATTGACCAAAATAAAGGAACTTACTTATTTACTTATTATGTAGACCCAGCTGTGTTTCCACAGGAACTGAATTCTTAAAATAAAATTGAATGGCCCATCTGTTTTTGTTCAGAAGCAGAAAATCACTGTGCATGTGAGAGACAATTAGATTTACATTAGAACTGTATTATTTCCTGGATTTGCTATTTCTACGTTAAGTATCATTAACAGCATAAAGATTTTATTGATATTATTCATTCAATATTATTTTTATTGACTTGCAATAATTGGTTAACTCAAAACCACTGTGAAGCTTGTGGGTGTTTTTAATTCACTTCTTTTTTTAATTTTAAATGACTCTACTCTTTATCTAATAATAAATAACTCAAATATATGCTTTTCGTATCAGAACAGTTGAAGAAAGTAAGAATTAAAGCCTTCTTCAAGTCAACTCTTATTGAGTTCAAAGTCATGCTGGGTTTTTTTGGCAGCAAGACAATAATCACTTGCAATTGTCTTCCTCTTGTTTGTTTGGTTGAGTTTTTTTGCTTTATGCCTAGCAAACAGCTTTGGGATTCCTTGAAGTTCTTCCATCTTAAGTATAAACCAGGCTACTTTCCAAGTGCAGACAAGGATGTGCATCTGAAGAAAACAGAAGTTAACATATCTTAATTAAATCTTTAATATTTTTGTTCTGTTAGTCAAACAATACGACAAAGTGATTCAAGGATGCAAAAGTTATAAATTTATAACTTTTCAATCATAAATATCAATGAATCTGACTTTTAGCATTTTTGTTTGATTTTCAAATAACTTAAGATCATTAATTGTTGGTAACAAGACTAATTGGTGGTTCAGACTAAATATGATCAATATACAACTTGCTTCTTCCCGTTTTGTAGCTCAATTGTTTAAAATATTCAGATGTTGCATTTAATATTTTTTTCTTGATGTTTCTGTATCTTGTTTTGTTTTCTGCTATTGCATAATTAGTTTGTTTGAAAACCTTCTTTTTATCAGTTTAATTGTTTATCAGATTTAAGAAAATCTTAAAAGAGCTGTGTGTCCTTATACAGGCATTGGGTTGTTTTAAAATTTTAATTATGTGTTTGAGGGTGTCTGTGAAAGAGAGATTGTGTAACATGACATGGGATATAGTGTTATATTTATGTAGCCATTAAATTGCACCCTACTGTTAGCAGCTTAAAAACATTGCTGGGCATTTTTTCCGAAAAAATCCTTGATTTTCATTGCTTCTTCCAAACATATTCTGGTAGGGATATTAAGAGATGTTAAGAGACAGGCCTTCATTAAATACTAAGTTGTGTTTACGTTTTAAAACTTTTCAGAATGGAACCTCCAGCAGTCAGTGGAACTATAAGAAAGAAAAGTCAGTAAAAGACAACTGGAGTCCAAAAGCTAATGCTGAAGTTTTATTTGTTTATTTAAAAAGACCTATTGTGAACTGATAAGGATTCAAATAGCTGTTACTTAAATATCCCAAAGCTGCATCTGAGAAAAAAATATACATCCTCATTATTATACCAATAAATTGTGAGAAAAGACTCAAATTCCTGACCTGACATACACAAATATATTTTAGTACTAAGGGGAGAATTGTTCACTTGCTGGAATACTTGTAACACTCCCACATTATTTTTAATAAAGCTTGATAATGAGGACATTGTGAGATTTGTTCTTGAGAAAAAGATTTATTTTCAGTTCAGGCAGTTGGCAGTGGCTACTAAAGAATGAGAGAGAGGGATTAAAGATTCATATTAAGATTCAAATTTGGCAACCACTTTTGGAATAAATCTGGTAGTTGCAGGAAAGCTTTGGGTTCATAAGTTATGCGTTTACTATTTTAAATCTTTAACAATTGTAATTTTCTCAATGCAAAGATAGCTGGGAATAATGGGACATTTGAATCTTTGACAAAGGCTATGATGTATAGAAGACGTCTCAAACTCACGGCCTGCGGGCCGGATGCATCATTCGCTGGCCACATCTACTCCTGGTTTAGTGAAGGGGAAAAAGTTGCAATAGGTCACGTGACGACAACGTGATGTCGTGAGTTTGATACCCGTGATGTATAGCATTCTTTGCAACATAAAATTCTTGCTAATCAGATTCAGGGCAAACAATAAAATAAAAGCATATGATGAAGTCTAATGAAACCCTATTAATCCCATTGTGAAAAAGGGCAAATCCATTACAGCCAATTTTAGGATACTTTTAGCTCTTTTCATGTATTTTCTTTACATTGACATATTTTTATGTTTGCGTTAGTTACAGACAAACATCAGTTTAAACCTGAACACATGCTCTATAGATTCCGTTATGATGATGGCACATATTATCCAAGAAATGAAATGCAAGATGTAATCTCAAAGGTACAAACATTATACTAAATAGTTATACTAATTAAAAATACATTCTGATTAAAAACTAAAAATATGGCATTATAAAATTGGTGTTATAAATTTAATATAAGTTAAATTTCCTGTTTTCCTGATGTGCAAAAATCAGGAGATAAAATTATGTTGAGCTGTTGAAATGAAAGACAAATTACAGTGTTGTGTTACATAATATTCAATCCTAACATAATGTAATAAGTGAGTATAATTTGATTGAATTTAGCAATGTTATCTATGTTCTCTTATTTTACAGTTTAATGTTAGTATTCTTTCAATGAATAACATGCTATATTCATTTGCTTAAAGACTAGAGGAAGGCCAATAATTCATTAAAAATTAGCTCACTGTGTGCATGAGGTACATGCATCCTTCCAGTCATTCTTTTGCCTTATTTAATCCCAGTAAATAAATTGGGCAGGAATACCTTAATAGTGCTTCTCAACCTTAATGCTGGCTGAGGAATTATGGGAGTTGAAGCCCCTGCATCTTACAATTGCTGAGATCAACAAACACTGCTTTAGTGTGATGTTTTGTGATAATGCTTTGTAGTAGACAAACAAGCTAACAAACCCTGTTTTAAATCTTGGTTTATGATCCTGGTATAATAAACCGTTAAAAAAATGTCCGATTTATGTATCTGTTCTTGTGAAGGGATGAGTAATGTACGAACACTAGAGCATTGTAACTAAATAAGCTATAAATCCTACTTTATCATAGTATTGTGAACAGAAGTCATAACTGCTTTCATGCCTACACTTTGAACATGTGATAATTAAACAGTAGAAGCAACTCTCAGTAAGAAGTACTGACAAGTATTCTTTAATTCATTAGACAAAGCTATCATTTTTTTCATATTTGTGTTTGGTTTAGGTGTCAGTGGATAAGAGGGCACAGTTGAAAATGTTGCTGGTATACTAAAAGAACAAATGAATCAATATTTATTTTTGAAGAAGTAGCTATTGGAATTTTCCTGGATTTCAAATATGCTTTTGAAGGAATTTTTTCCTCTCTTATTTTATAAAGCAATTTAAATTAAGGCAATAAATTGCCATTATTTGAGATAGTAACCTGTATAAATATATATGGACTTTACTTGATATTGAGTAATTTAGATTGAATATTGTTCATATACTTAACAGGGTGTAAGATTATATTGTCGTCTGCACAGTCTGTTTACTCCTGTGGTAAGGTAAGTTTGAGTTTCATTGTTTAGTTTCATAAGGTTATTAGTAGTTGCTACCCACTTATGTAGATCTTGCTCAATAATTGTTCATTGTTCTATTAACAGAAGACTTAGCTAACATTATAGCCATAGAAAGTCTGCCTAGAACCTTTCATAAAAACAATCAGTCATTTTACTTCGATTATTGACCAGCAAAGCCTTCAATAAATGGTGTAAGATTAATGCAAGGCATGTTTGCATCTATACTTCCATTTCCAATAGACAGACAAGTACAGAAACATTTTGTACACACATATATATGCACAAACACACACACACACACACACACACACACACACTGTGTATGTGTGTGTACATGCATGTATCTAAGGGCAAAAAGCCTACAGGTTGATTCATAGATAGACATAAAATAATAGCATAAAATAAAATTAGCTAAAACAATGCATACAATATTTCATTCCAATGCAAACGAAGAACAATAAGAGAAAAATATAATTAATAAACAATACAAATCCTGAAAGAAAAAATATAAACCATCTCGGCATGTCACCTATATATTAAATATCAAACAATGATCATTTTAAATAATAAACCTTCTGTTCTTCTAGATATTATGAAATGTATATCACAGAGAACATACTGCATTGTTTTGATTAGTGGAAAAAAATAGCCTTTTCAAAAATGGATAAATTTCATATCTTGAATCTAGTCCTTGATGTCCAGAAAATTAATGCTTTTCCAATTTCTCACGCCAGATATAACCAAAGTTTTTAAACAACAGTGAAGTGTCCCACATTTTAGAATATAAGTCAATGTGACATTAGTATCTTTACTACTGAAAGATTTCCCCTTAAATCTACTTAAATACCGTGTATTAAAATATTGTTCCAAAAAGATACCAATAACTCACAGCACTAAATCATGATTTAATACCTCATCACATTTTTTCCAGTGCTAACAGATAAAATCTCTTTTTAAATACATTCTTTGGGGCATCCAATAAATTCGAATAGAACATTTTGATGTACCAATCTTAAATCTGATGAAACTAATTTAACATTCTTTGAAGTTTGCAAGTATTGGCCTATTCCTTAAAATATTCAAACACTAGCTGTACCCGGCCACGCATTGCTGTGGCCCAGTCTGGTGCTTCTGTTGGGCTAAAAGAGCGAGGCTGAAGTTCCAAACTCTCCACGAACATTTGGTGGGCGTGGCCAACTCGACATCACTCACTTTCATCAGTCACATGACAGCCCCTGAGCCACACCTACCCAGCTGGTGATTAAGGCAGAGAATCGGTTGCTAAAAAACAATGGGAACCACAAAATTCTCCTTCTCTGTCTCCCCCTCTCTCTTTGTATCTCTCTATGTCTTTCTCTCTCCCCCGTCTGTATCTCTCTATGTCTCTCTCCCCACTCTGTATCTCTCTATGTGTCTCTCTCTCCCCCCTCTCTCTATCGCTCTGTCTCTCTCTCCCCCACTCTGTATCTATGTCTCTCTCTCTTCTCCCCCTCTGTATGTCTCTATGTGTCTCTCTCTCCCCCTCTCTCTGTATCTCTCTGTCTCTCTCTCTCCCACCCTCTCTCTCTGTATCTCTGTATGTGTCTCTCTCTCCCCCCGTCTCTCTGTATTTCTCTATGTCTCTCTCTCCCTCTCTCTCTGTTTATCTCTGTCTCTGGCCCGGCCTCTTCTGCATCCCCCGCCATCACCCTTACCTTTTCAGGCCAGGCCTTCGCAGCTCTCTGCACCACAGCAGAAACTCGGGGGCCCCCTCTGTCCTCCCTACACAGATGTTCTTTGGGGGCTTGATGGGGAGACGCATAGCAGGGAAGGGAAGGGATGGAGGGAGGGGGTGTGGCTGGTTTGGAGCTTCCTGCCCGAAGGAAGAAAGTGGCAAAGCCAGGAGCCATGCACACCCCACTGGATCCCTGCTGCGCAGTTCTCCTCCCCCGCCTGCCAAGGGCAGGCGAATGATTAAATCCCCCCTCTTCCAGGCGAAACGAAGGAGGGCTGGCCATTCTCCCTCCTGCCCGTTTCTGCCCCCAAAGCCTCCCCGGAGCCCCTTTTCTGCCAGAGGCCAAAATTTTCGTGTAGGCTCCGTGAACTGCCAGAGCGCCCACCTGGGAATCAAAGACGGCGCTGGTCAAAGGCAACCCCAAGGCTCCAGTTGCCTCCATTTTCCACTCACCGACCGGATTCGCATAGCGCCGGTTAGCGGCTGATCTTTCTGACCTCAGGGCCCGTGGCAGCACCGGGCCAGGTGCGATTCGGGCCAGGCGAGGAACAGAGGGTTCCTGCTCGGCGGACCCAGGCAGCCTCGTTGCCAGGTGTTCTTTGGTGGGAGTCCCGAGAGCGGCTGGCGAGGGGGATGGGCAGCAGTGGCGGGCAAGGCTAGTTCGCAGGGCAGCTGGGAGAGGGGGAGGTCAGAGCCAAGTTCGGGCGGGTCCCGCCCAGTCCTAGAAGCGCTGGCTGCGAGGGCTTCCCGGCGGGGAGCCGGCTGCCTACCTGCTGAGCCTGGTGGCAGGATATGGCCTTCGGGCGTCTCTGCCTTCCAAATGCACAGTTTCTTGGAAGCAATATGGAGAGTCTAAATATAAGGAGCAGAAATCTGTTGCACGTAATCAGGGCTGGGAGGCTGCCATGTTGGTTTTACGTCCAGCAGGTGGCGCTGTTTTTCAATGTTTGTCAATGTCTTTCAATGTTTTCCAATGTTTTTCATGTTTTTACCTGTCACAGGTATGACATGTATATAATATAGGTATATAAAAACACACCTGTAGTTGAATGCAACGTTGTGTCAAAATTTGAAACCAATTGGTGAAGAACTTTCGGAGATGTGCGGTTATGTACAAACGGACATTTACATTTTTATTTATATAGATTCTAGTCTCCAAGGACCACATATAATAGTCAGAAAATGAAGTCAAGCATGTTTCCTATGAAAAAGAATTCTAAAAGATAAAGTCACCCACACAAAAACAGCAGGTTTCTAGCAATAAAATTACATTTTCATTCTGGGTAAAAGTTCAACTACTCGATTTCTGGTTGCTGTTATGTATAGATACAGGTAACTGTTACTTCAAACTGTCAATTTCTAAATAAGTGTTTAGGACACATATGAAAGTTTGTGTGCATGTAAGTATAATCTCATTTATATTTTACTTGTATTTATTTATTTACTTACAATATTTAATCTGGAGGGAGGATTGGGGCCCAACATACTTTGAGAGCCAATGCACTCTGGCATTGGAGTTAATACAGGATAGATGTACCTTCTAACTCGTACTTCTCGTACCGTACTAATAGGAATCTTACTAGATTCCTATTAGTTTATTCATACACCTTTCTCGTAGTAAAAGAACCCAGTTGCTTTTTCTTTCCACAATTTATGCATGTACAACTTAACCCAAACAAAACATAAACAGTACTTTTTTTTAAATGTACCACATAAAATCAATATAATAAACAAGTAGCAAGCAATTTTCAAACTGCAAAATGCCAGAAATAATAGGAATGAATTATAAAATGTCATACATTAATTTAAGCAAAAATATTGCAAAGTAAACTAGTCATTATTAAATTTTAATGATAAAACGATAGGCAGCATTTGCCTCTCTGGATTCAGATGAATGGAAATGTACATTTTTGCTTTTTCTCTTTTTTAGGTATAACCCTGTCTTGGTATTGTTCTATGTAGTGAGTTTTATTTTTTAAAAAATGCTTAATCTGCCAGGAAAATAATATATGTCGCTCAACTCAAAATAATACTGAGAATAGAATTATGATATAAAAAATATTAAAGCAAATGGTTTTTCCAACTGAGAAACTCTCAGTGGTATAAGTGCATATTCAGCCATTCATTAAATGACTTTGGAGTAATCATAATCTCTCTTAGCCCAACCTATTTTACAGGCTTGCTGTAGGAATAAAATGGAGGAAGATTCTAGATAAGCCAACTTGAATTTGTGCAGGAAAGGCAGGATATAAATCTAATTAATCAGTCAAGCAAGGATATTAAAGTTGTATTACTATTTCAGATTTCCTTAATAGTACTTGAAGTTTTGTGTTTTGTGTCTCTACCGATATTTATATGTGGAAAGTAGGAGTAGGAGAAAGTAGAAGACACAAGACACAAATTCCATGTGGAAACATCCATGGTGTAATACATCCAATATTATGCTGTAATGTTTTCTTTTAGTCCCTCATCAAGGTAATTCCATAAATAAAAAAGCCTAGTTTTGGAGATGTATGGGAGATGGAGATGTATTAGATTTTGTAATACCCTTTGAACCTTGCCCAAAATACACAGTACTGTAACTAAAATAAAGTGTCATTATTACAAAGTAATGCAAACCTTAGGTTATATTAGGGGTATAATATATGGTATTCAGCTTTTGTAGAATATATATTTTGAGGATGAATTAATTTATCCTTTTTTTCTCCTCAGAGATAAAGATTACCATTTAAGAACCTACAAATCTGTCATAATGGCTAATAAAATGATAGACTGGCTAATTGCACAGGTAGGACAGTGCTCTGAAGTATTTAAATTTGATTAGTAACATGAAATAAATGTGAATACATTTCCATTAGAAATGAACATTTTATATGTCATATAATTTTGCTTTTATATATTAACTAAGCTACAAATATTTTGGTATTATTACTCAGCTGTTAGTCCTGGTATCTTTTGAAAGACTTTAAAGTATTAAGCATTCTTCTACTGCCCATTTTTTTAAAAAAAAGTTAGATTATATTATACAAGATTTTTTGGTATTTTTTGGTGTATAAGACGCACTCCCCCCCCAAACGGGGGGAAATGTCTATGCATCTTATAGAATGAATATTGCCGAAGCCCCACCCATCCGGCCCCCACCCTTCGGCTTCTGGCTCCCATAAATTTGTCTCCTTGCAGCAAAAAGCAAACAGCCTGGTCAGTTTCAGCACAGCCTGATTTAGCACGAGCAGCTACTTGGCGGTTGGATCTGCCTCCTGGAATACCACCTATCAGCTGTTCCAGGCTGCGGGGATTGCCACTGCCCATTACCGCCGTTGCTGCCCATGGCCGCTGCCGCCTATTGCCACCTCCATGCGCCCCATTTTTGGCCTATCGCCACCACCTGGAACGGGCTGAAATCGGGAACGCAGAGGCCAAAAATGGGGTATGCAGAGGCTAAAAATGGGGTGCATGGAGGTGGTGATAGGTGGCAGCAACGGCGATGGGCAGTGGCGATCCCTGCACACTGGAACAGTTGATAGGCAGTATTCTAGGAGGCAGATCCAACCGTCTATCAGCTGCTCGTGCTAAATCAGGCTGTACTGAAGCTGGCCAGACTGTTTGCTGCAAGGGGGCAGAGCCAGAGGGACATTTTTTTTCTTGTTTTTCTCCCCAAAAGCTAGGTGTGTCTTATAGTCCAAAACATCTTATAGTCCAAAAAAATACGGGAATATTTTATTTTAATACCAAAGTAAATACAAAATACCAAGTATTAAACTATAAATTTATTATCACATTATTACAACCAAAATATAGAAATTATTTTAACTAATGGCCATATTTATTTTTATATCAATAAACTTATGTGCAGGGGGATTGCAGAACAAGAGAAGAAGCAATGATCTTTGGAATAGCGCTGTGTGACAATGGATTTATGCATCATGGTAAACTATAAATTTATACAATTTTTTTAAAAAAAAACAATATAAAGATTCTAATTTTAAAATCTAATATCAATACTGTAATAAATAATTTCCCTAGGACTGTGATTCCGAACCTATGGCACGCGTGCCACAGATGGCACGCAGAGCCATATTGATGGGCATGTGAGCTTAGTTCTGGCCAGCTGATTTTCAGGCCTTCTGGACCCACCAGAAGTCAGGAAACACGCTGTTTCCAGCCTCTGGAGGACTTCTGGTGGGATAGGGAAGGCCATTTTTTCCTCCCCAGGCTCCTAGAAAGGCTCTGGAGCCTGGGGAGAGTGAAAAACAGGCCTACTGGGCCCACTGTGCCATTGCGTGCCAAAAGAGGGGAAAGCGCGGGGGGTCATGCGTGCATGCGTGGGTGGCTGGGCGCATAGAATTATGGGTGTGGGGGACTTCCGGTCGGCACCGCAGGCTCCGTGGACGGTCTTTTAAGACCGCCAGCCCTGTGTCTTCGTAAAAGCTGCTTTGACCGCAAACCGGCTGTCTGGCGGCTGAAAAACTCTCCTTCGGGAAAAGAAGGAGAGGAGAGCTGGTGGGCAAGAGTAGAACTCCCGGAAAGCCCTCTGGAACATTTCCAGAGGCTTGGAGGGTGAGAGCTCCCCAGCCAGCCCGCCAAGAAGCTCTGGAGCCAGGACGACTCTGCGAAAGCAGAGCGAGAAGCCGCGATCCGATCCTGCTTTCAAAAGTGAGTTTGACTGATTACAAGTGCAGATAGAGCGGAAAACAGGAGAACAAGCTTTAAAAGTACAGAGCTTAACTCCGAAGTTACTTTGTTTCAAATTGAATTTCATTGAGCTGGAGGCTGCAGATGGCATCTTTGTTATGGTTTTGAAAGTGAAAGCCAGAAATGAAAGTGCTTGAGAGCTTTGTGCTGGGAGAGTGGATTAGCTGCTTATTAACTGCTGGGAAGTGAGAGTTTGTGGAAAACCAAAGAAAAAACTACCTTGCCTGGTAATTGGAAATTGGAGACTATAAATTACAAATACTTTAAAGTTGTTTAAAAGACTTTGTGTCTTTTAAAGATCTCCGTAAAAGGGGGGGGGGAAAGGCTTCTAGACAAGTGAAACCAGGAGTTGTTAAAGGAGGGGGAGGTTCTCCAGTTGTGTCAGTGGTGACACAGAAAGCACAACTTCCGGCTGATCCACAGACTCAGACTCAGAGTCAGGAAGCTGCACTTAATGATTTTAAAGAATTTATGAAAGAAGCCATGAATAATCAAGCAACATCAATGAGAGATGCTATGAATAATCAAGCAGTAGCAATGAAAGAAGCTATGAATAATCAAGCCACAGCAATGAATAATCTAACACTACTTGTGGAAGGGAAATTAAAGAAAGTTGAGGAGGATATCAGTTCAGTCAAGGAGGTGGTTGCAAAAAACCCACGATGAAATAAGAGATGATATTGTTTATGCTATATCAGGATTGTCAAACCTTGTTATCCAGCTTGATGGGAAAGTTGAAGAAATTAATGAAGCCAATTTAAATTTGGAAAGCAAAATGGGTGATGTCATGACTAGAACAGAGAAAGTGGATGATGAATTGGCAATGTTACAATACAGATCCATGGATGGCACTTAGATCTTAAAAAATTATCATGTATGTACTCGAATTTGCAAGCTAAATGTTGGAGATGTGAATGTAATGATGCAAGCTATTATCATATATGGTGGACCTGTAAGAAAATCAAGGCATTTTGGATAAAAATTTGGTGGGTGATGCAGAATATTCTGAAAAGAAGGTTGAAATTTACTCCTCAATTGTTCCTATTGGGTTGTTCTGTCCCTGTATCACGCACACATCCAACCAGCCAGCCGAGGGTTAAATAAACTCTTCAAACACACAACGTCAGTGATAAGGAACTTGGCAGCAACTCCGTGGCTGCCTGCCAAGAGCTTTTACTCCGATAACACAGACAAAAATACACACAGTTTGAATAGTCCAGTTTGTAATTAAATCCACGGCAAATAGGTGTTGTGTCCGAAGGTGCAAGTGCCTCGCCAGAGATTAGCTTTGTCCGTCACAGAGTCCGAATGGCCACCACACTCCCTTTTATAGCCTGTGGGGTGTGGTCCAGTGACTCAGCTTAATCTCTGGCATGCCTCCTTTTCTGCTGCTCACGCTTGTCTCTCTGACGCTGGCGTGGGTCCAACCACAATGTTTCTTCGTCACTATCCGATGGCTCGGAAACACCTGGCTCCTGGCCAGTCTCTTCTCCTTCGGGAGACACCTGAGGCATTGCCAGAGAGGAGGGTCCTGGAGAGGGAGGCCTGGCCATCTCCTCTCCTTCATGTTCGGAGCCTTCTTCCTCCGATAAGATAGGCTCGGAGGACAGAGCCACAACATGGGTATAACAATGGACTGTACAGTATTAGAAACTAAATTGATTTTGAATCTAATATCAGCAGCTAGGCTGTTGGTAGCACAATATTGGAAGAAGGAATCTTTGCCTACTATTGAAGAGTGGATACTGAAAGTAATGAACCTAGCAGAAATGGCGAAAATCTCAGCGTACTTGAAGGACTATACACAAGAAAGATATGTATCGGAATGGAGAAGATGGATTGACTATATTCAAAATAAGTATCAGACAAGAAAATATCAAATAGCTTATGAATGAACGTTAAGTATTAGAAGTATTTTGTTATCTATAGTGGAGTTAAGGTTTCGGGGGGGGGAGTTAGTAGTCTAAGGATAAGTAGGTTAATCTAGTTTATGATTGTTAAATGAAACACCTTGTATTTTGCTCTGGGAGGTTTGGGGGTGGGATGAGGGGAGGGAAAGGGTGGGGGGAATATGGCGGGGAAGAAAATTTTTGTTTTTTGTAAAACTTTTCAACAACAAAAAAAAGAATTATGGGTGTGGGCATGTGCGTGTGTGTCACACCCACACCCACACACACCGTTTTTGGCACGCAATGGCCAAAAGGTTAGCCATCACTACCCTAGGATATGCAGTATGTAGCATTTATTGGTTTGTTACTAGAATTTTTGTTCGGTGATTTATATTTTTAAAAAGTACTATCTAATTAAGAACCTCTTTAGAATATCTGTACAAATTACAGATAGAGTTCATTCTTGCCAATCATGAAATTCTACACTGTTTTCTTTGTAAAATTATTTACTAATAGCTGTGAAAAATACAATATTACAAGGATCTACTGATTTATTTATTAGTTTTATACACTGGCATAATCCTTGAAGACTCCTAGAGTTAATAACATAAAATAACTTACATAACAGTATAACAAAACTACATTAAGCACAATAAGAAATAGTGATTTACAGTGCAATAAAGCTAAATATGATGACACTTTACCATTCTACAAATACTTTCTGGAAATCTGATTTTAACCTATTTTCACAATGTCATTAGAATGGGTGCTGCTCTAAGTTCAGGAGGGAAAATATTCCATAATATATGGTCTATTAATAGAAAATAATTGTTTCTGAGATATAGCTTTTTCCTTTCACTGAAGTGGGAATTATTAATAAGAGATAAAGAGTTTATCAGACAGCTCAGTTTGGATTGGAAGATGCAGTTATTTAATAAACCATATAGTAAATAAAATTTTAGTTGAATTATAAATCAATATGTCTACACAAATATTAACCTTTTCTCTGTCAAACAGTGCTGGAAAAAAGTGAATTCAAAGATGAACCACTTCTATTTCGTTTTTTTGCGGATGAAGAAATGGAAGGCTCCAACATGAAACACAGACTTATGAAACATGACTTAAAAGTAGTGGAAAATGTAATCGCAAAATCGTTGCTGGTACGTTTTTTAAAAATTAAGTCTGTATGTTTGTTTGTTTGATTTTGTTGCTAATTCCTATTATTTGCACATAGACAATGTTATAATTTGTAGTTTTTTTCAGATCCATGCTATTGTCCATCAACTTAAATCCCCTAGACCTCTCTTGCTGTTTTTTGTATTATTCAGTTTTGTGAAGAAAATATATATTAACTGGAGTGCAACATATAGGTCTTTATAGAGTCCAAAGTTAGACTGTATTGGTTAAATATTCATACAATGCTCAAATAAATGCTTATGATTAATGTCACAGCTTTTGCAGATGAATATATTTGCCAGATGTAATGTCCATAATGATAACAATCATATAGTAGTAACAGTTGCCTGTCATCCATACTTATTCAGCATATTGATTTAAATGTTTATCTTTTTTCAGATCAGATCAAGTGATGGAACTTATGGTTTTGGTTTGGAAGACAAAAACAAAGCACCAATTGTGAAAATAGTGGAAAAGTGCTCAAATGCTGAGGTAATACAGGTTCATAACTGTCCCAATTATTACATTTCTGTTAATAGAAAAGTTTAGGTGTTTTGACAATTCTTTCAATTACAAAGTTTTACTTTAATACTTTTAATTGATTTGTGTGTGTAATTGATTGTGTGTGTGTGTAAATTATTAAAGACTACCCCAGCATTTGTAAAATATAAATATTTGTATTACTTTAATCATGTAGAAATTAAAAGCATACAATATGGATGATTTCACACGATGCAATTAAGCTATACTGTTTTTCTTTTTTTAAAATTTCAGTGTAGCATGAAAATCCAGTTATGGTCAACACTGAATATGGCCCTGATACTTACCAGGGCTGACATTTTCAGTTTTTCGCATCAGAGTTTTAATGTTTTCTTCTAAATTATGTTAAATTTACCTGGGCTTACATTATATTTTTCTCATCTTTTCTACCTCAAAATATGAGTAGATATGCTCCTGATTTTCAGCAATAATGATTAGAATGGCTTTTTAGGGGCTGCAAAAATAGTGCTTGGGAGTGCTGTACAGAGAATTATTATCAGCTATTTACACCTCCTTGGTGTTTAAGCTTACAGACGGTCAATATTTGTAATTTCCTAAAAATGTGAACTTTGATATCTTAATGTTATTGAAAGAAACATTACTCTTCACATTTAGGGTAAGAAAAAATAAAGAACTATAGAGAATTATTAGATGTGTGAAGATTAAGGGAGCTGAGAAAGTTACTGTGTATAAGTCTACATATTGCAGGTGATTTTTTAAAGGTTAACTAAATACAGAACTTTGACAATCATTTTGCAGAATAAGAAATATATTTGTGCAATACAATTTTATATATAGCTACTTAAAAGTATGTTCATGGATAAGCACGTAAAAGTTTCCATGTAAAATAAATTAATGTTGTTTAGGGAACGGTTATAGTCTAGCAAAGAATACTTATTAAAATGTTCATTCTGATTATCTGATCCACCAATAATATTAAAAAATGTGGCATCTTCCATTGCCTCCCCCATATCTGGATAGTCTTTAGTAGGGCTACTAAAATGAATAAATGTGATTGTTAGAATATTAAATTAATACTATTAAAACATATCCTTTGAATTACTAATTTGTTCCAGTTTACATTTTGAAGGCCTATTAATTTAATTTTCCTAGCAGATGTTGAATTAATAATAATACAGAAATGATCTGCCAATCTTTTTCATAAAAAAATTATGTGGAAGAATACGAGTTTTTTATTAGGAAAAAGAACTTAAGGTTTTCAGTTACATGTCTAATAAAGAATTGTCTCTTCTTGCAACACCTAAGGCCTCTTATATTTTCTGAAAGAACTATATTTGTATGTAGGCATATAATGAAAAATTGTTAACCACTTATATTATTTAAAATAATTGCACAGATAACGATTAGGTAACAAAATACAAAAACAATTACAAAACCTTTCAAGCAAGTACCATAATAATCTCATTACAGAATTACAAATGCAAGTTTCACCACCCCTCTTTACCCTATCCCCAAAGGAAAAGGCAGATATTAATTGCCCTCTGGAAAGCAAGGAGGTTAGGGACTGTTTGAGCCTTATAGGTCCAGATTTGAGAAAAGTATAAGCAGCATCCTCTTCTGCATTTGAGGGAGAACAATTTCTTAACACTTGACCTGCTGAAAGCATAGAATAGTTGAAAAATGAACATATTATTGACTCACATACCCCCCAAAAATGGAGAGAAAAACTTATGGAGTTACTTGCTGTTGTTCCCAGTCAGAAATTACATACTATATAGCACTAGCAATAGCACTTAGACTTATATAGTGCTTCATAGTGCTTTTAGAACCCTGTCTAAGCAGTTTACAGAGTCAGCATATTGATCCCAACAATCTGAGCTCTCATTTTATCAACTTTGGAAGGAGAGAAGGCTGAGTCAACCTTGAGCCGGTGAGATCTGAACTACTGAACTGCAGCTAGCAGTCAGTTGAAGTAGCCTGCAGTGCTGAATTCTAACCATTCCGCCACCTCAGCTGATATGAAAATGGTAGTCAGAAGAAACCAGGAATGAGATGTCAAAGAAATACAGATCTGTAAACAAGAGGCCATTTATTACAAGGAAGAAAGCCTTGTAGATTCCATTAAATAGCTGGAGTTCTGGCTGTGCCTAATTAGAAGAGTTCACTTCTTCCTTTTCAAGAAGTGGCTATGTGAATCCCAAAAATAATAAATAAATAAAAATAATAAATAAAATTTATCAGCATACATACATTGTGTATATGCAGTTGAATAGAGAAATATATGTTTCAAATTTGATCTAGCATTCATTTCTGCATTTTTGTGAAACGAGATTAAAGCTGAAAACGAAACTGAATTTATCTACAAATTTACTATTTATTTAAGTCAGACATTTTCATACGGATTCTCTTAAATGAAGTGTCGGTAAATAGAAAAGTAAATCTATTTAATTTACTATTAATTTAAACTTTAAGCTGTCAAATAGGGGAAAAAATCTTAGAAATAATAAAATGTTACAATACAGGATATTTTTCCAATAATACTGAATTGCTAGGATTAGTTTTTTTCATAAAGGTATTTTCTGTAAGGTTATATAAATTCCACAGTTGTAAATACAAGTATATGGGAAATGTTTGAAGCTCTTCCTCTGTGCATGTAAATAATAATGGATCGTTGATGTTGTGATGCTAATTGATTATATATGTATTTTGTTTTCTTGTCTAGGTGGCAGGTCTGGAAATTGGAAAAAAGATCTTTACCATTAACGGTGACCTAGTTTTTCTAAGGCCCTTCACTGAAGTGGATAGCTTTCTGAAAGCATGTTTAAACAGTAAAAAGCCCCTCAGGGTACTTGTGAGCACAAAACCAAGGGAGTAAGTTGTTTCTTTGGTTATAGAAATTATAAAAATAGTAACCAAAATATGTTCCAAAAGCATAGGCATAAATGTTATTATGTTAGAAATAATTTAGATAATTTTTATATATTTTAATGATGATATCCTACCTTTCCCCTCAAATTTATGCACTCAAAGTGGTTAAACACAAAATGGAAGGTATATTTCTGAATGTTTACTATATGTCAGTTGGAACCAATTCAGAAATGTCAGTAATTAAAAGCTCAACAAAAGAAATACATCTTAGCTGTTCACTGAATTGGATTTAAATGCAACTCCAAAGAATGCATTTCATAGTCTGGGCATAGTGCAGGAGATGCTATCCCTTGTGCAAACAAGTAAGATGAATTGGCTTTTTCTTCTTCTCCTGTCATTCTGAATAACTTCATTGGTTGGAAAAGCTAGTGTCTGAATTTAAATTTAAGTTTTCGGTATAAAATTGCCTTCCTCAATTTGGCTCTCTCTGGATTTTAATTATCACTCTTTTTAGTCAATGTGGTAAAGTCTAGCAATTATGAAGGGTGGCTGGCATCAATATATTTATCTAATGCATTTTGCCATTAATCATTTAATAATACTAAAATATCAAGAAATTATTATATTTGTCATTCTGTTATTCTTCATTAGCATATTATGTGGACACAACATTTATTTATCTTTTTGTTTGATATGCCAATATTTGTTCAGAATTAGGTAGTTCTTGCTTAGTAACCACAATTGGGACTGGCAACTTGATTGCTAAGTGATGTGGTCACTAAATGAAATGTCACTCGATCTTGATGGACTTCCAACATCACTTCCCATTCAGTTCTTAAGCATATCACCATTGGTTGTTAAGCAGGACATCACATGACTCTGATTGCAATTTTACTGTCTGTTTCTCCAGTGAGTCTGCTTGCCAGAACCTGTTTGTGAAGTGTGTAAATGGTGATCATGTGACCGCGACAATAATAAATTTGAGAATTGATCATAATGTTACATTATTAATGCTGTTGTAATTATGAATGCATGCAAAATAGGGCAGTCATTAAGCGAGGTCTGTCTACATATATGTTTATTATTAGCTAATAATATGTTTAAAGCTATGATCTAGGTTTCTAGAAGCAAACCTCACTGAACTCAAGGTTGTTTTAAAGTTTCTTGCTAGTTGATGTCAAAAGTAGTGGTTATTTTTCCACTGAATGTAAGCTTTATTTTTTAAAAAATAAGTATATTATATTATTTTAATCTTATGTAAAATTTGAGGCATAAACAGAAATGTTGGTGTTAGATGCTTCATTGTGTGGTTTATCTTGCTTAAAGGACAGTTAAGATTCCTGATTCTGTGGATGGACTTGGATTCCAAATACGAGGCTTTGGCCCTTCTGTTGTTCATGCTGTTGGAAAAGGTATGACGTGGCCTGCATTTATGAATATTTGGCCAAATGCAATAAATACACACACAAATTCAGAGAATCTTGAGATTGATGCTTGAAGAATTTGATGCATGGTTCTGAATTTAGGTATAAAGAGTTAGTAGTAATTTCTATTGTTATATATAGCTACTTGAAAATTAGATACTCATACAACCAATAATAAAGAGAATAATGGACTTTAGCCCCTAACTACAGACCTAACAAGCATACATTGATTTGATCTTGGCCAGGAAGAACATGTGACAAGATGGATATTTGGCTTAAGGGTTAATTGCTCTCTGTTTTCATTTACTTATGTGTTTTGTAAAGGCTAAATACAGTGAGATATACCTTGTGGAGTATATTTCTTTATGAAACCATGAGCGTAAGAGATTTATTAGTTCAATTTATATGCCGCCTTTCTCCGGAGACTCATGGACTCATGAGATGTCCATGATAGGAAACTGTAATCTTATATATCCTTTGAGTATGAAAACACAGGATATATAACAGAAATATATAATAGAAATTAGAAAAATAAGATTTTACAAAAAGCTCAAGAAAAAAGCTTACAAAAAAGCTAAATTTTCACCTCTTTTCAGAAATTCTGTAAGGAAGAAGAGACACTATGTATGGCGGAAAAGCTGTTTAATTTAGCATGAAAAAGTAATAAAGTTCTAATATGGTAATTTAGTGTGACGTAGCATTTGGGGTTTTATAAATAACTGCTTTCAGACTGCATGGGATCCAATGCTATAAATTCTTCTTCGGTGAATTTATCCTGGTTGAACCTTATTCAGCTGTATTGTTTGCAGCCCATAATTAATCACATTAATTTTGTATAGATTTGTATAGAATAAATGCTTAAAATATGATTATGCGTTGCCTTCTTCATCTAAGGCAGTGTTTCTCAACCTTGGAAGCTTGAAGATGGGTGGACTTCAACTCCCAGAATCCCCCAGCCAGCACTGCTGGCTGGGGGATTCTGGGAGTTGAAGTCCACCCATCTTCAAGCTTCCAAGATTGAGAAACACTGATCTAAGGGATTGACTCAACAAAATGCAATGTTTTTATCTTGAGGTTTTACCTTTTAGAGATTGGACAACTACATATTTAGGGTAGCCCCTAAGAAAACTGAATAATTTTTTTCTTACATGATATTCAATGATTCAGAATAAAGTATTTCTAGCTTGTCTTTAACAATGTAGTGTTGGTTCAATTTAATATAATCTGGAATTGAAAAATGAATTGGAATTGAAAAGGAATGGCAGTTGTAATATGGCCTTTTCCCATTTCTAAGTAAATTTTTAACTTAATTTATTAACTATTTTAAAGGAACTGTGGCAGCTACTGCTGGGCTTCATCCTGGACAGTGCATAATCAAAGTGAATGGAATTAATGTCAGCAAAGAAACACATGCAAGTGTTATTGCCCATGTGACAGCCTGCAGGAAATACAGACGACCAATGCATGTAATGCTAATTATTTTGTTCATTACATATGTCCTTGTTTTTATTTCAGTGGCCCATAACTATTATCTATCTTTGGCAGTTCATGGAAAAATATAATCAATATAACACTTCACCATGAATGGATGGAATTTTTTACTTTCACATGATTCATATTGAAAAGGTGTGAGTCTTTGTTCACAAGGAGGCACCTACCATGTCAACTTTTTAAATTTGCCCTGCTATCTGAAAAAGTCTGCCATGTGACTTCATTAAAACTGTGTTCTGTAAAAGAGTACACATTTTAAAACTTAAAACTTAAATGTGAAAATAATGGCGATCCTGTTGTTATATCTGCAGGGTGAAAATGGAAAAGGAAAAAAAAACCATATAGACATTTTACCTAGCATTATTTGTCTGATAGCTGCTCAGAGTCACCTTATTGGTAAGAAGGGCAGCATAATAAATTTAATAAACAAACAAACAAACAAACTTTTCCTGGGAAAACAGAGACAAAACTAAAATGGAAAACTTCCAGTGAAGGGTTTGAATATTAATCTAAATTAATTCTATGCCCTGAATATGTTGTATATTATTAAGAATGACTATGCTCTTCCTGATTAATGATGGACTTCTGAATGGACTATTATACTTGTTCTTATATATTTATTTGATTTTGATCTGATTTTGATCTGATTTTATTACTTTTTAAGTAACTCAAGGTGGCAAGTATACATAATATGCTTGTCTTTCTCCTCCTATTTTCCTTGTGGAAGTGAGTTAGGCTGAGAGACAGTGACTGGCCCAAAGTTACTTGGTTGGTTTTTCATGCGTAAGACAAGACTAGAACTCAAGTTTCTTGGTTTCTAGGCAAGCACCTTAACACTTACACCAAAATGGCTCTCTTTTATGAGCAAAGAACTGGATAAAGAGTTATGGAATTAGTCATGGCTTCCACTGATGCTTAAATCTTGATTACTATAAAACAAATGGGCAATACTGAGATTAAAATACAGTCCTATAACACACTGATTGATTAGACTCTTTTTAATTATTATCAAACAATTTCTGTTGATATGTTTCATAACAAATTGTTGTGAAATGAAAGCTAAACACAAGAGAAGGTACAATGATACATCGTATGTGACTGTATTAGGATCTGTAAGTGTAAATTAGGAATTCTTCATAAATATAATTTCAATTATATTGAGAGGGAATCTATTTCAATGCTGCAGTTATAAAAAACAGTAATACTTGATACTGGTGCTTGAGCCTCATTTTATTTTCCACATTTTCCTTTAGAGAATATATTTTAAAATCTGTCAGAATGCAAATTTGGGAAGAAGGATAATTTTGTAAATCAGTATTTGATAAACTAAAATAACTTTTGAATTTTTAAAATTATTTAAAATTCTGTCAGATACAGCTTCACATGATCAATAAAAAATGAACCATGGACTTCAGCAACAAACAAATAAACCCTGTTCTGTTTCTAACAGCAGTCCTTTCTTCCCCCATGGAAATAAATTGCAAATTAAATCCACACTTTTTCTGTTTTTCAAAACCTATATGTATTAAAGTGTTAATGAGCCTTGTAAATTATTTGTTATTCTACAGCAAGATTCTATTCAGTGGGTATATAACAACACTGATAGTGCTCAGGAGGATTTTCAGAAAACGAATACTAAACCATTGGGTGAGGATGGAGGAGATGCATTTAATTACAAAGTTGAAGGTGGGATTATTTCTCTTTTATTATTAATCAAAATAAAAATTTGACTATTTCTTAAAGTATTAAAAGCAAGTATAGCATACCAGAGCAAAACAAAACAAGGGGATTGCACATCTTTCTTGAAGTGAGATGCATGCCAGCACAGCTGGGATGCAAACCATATAGAAATGCATGAGTTATTCAGATATTACTTTTGTCAGCTGCATGAATTAGTAACTAGTAAAGTAAGGAATGAAGAAATACAGTCATACCTTAGATATCTATGACTTTGCTTTTGAATTCATTGGAATCTTAGAAATCATGTAGCACTAGCTAGCCAGTTGACAATCACAAGGAGAGTCTGAATTTTTGATCATAATAATTTCTTCAATGATTCTGCAATAAATAATATGTGTTTCAGAGGTAGTCTATATTAATTAATCTACAGAATAGATTTATTTTGTTCCTGTTTTTAGAAGCCATTGATAAATTTAATACTATGGCAATAATTGATGGACGAAAGGATCATGTCTGCCTGACTGTTGATAATGTTCATCTGGAATATGGTGTTGTTTATGAGTATGATAGTACTGCTGGAATAAAATGCCATGTTTTAGAGAAAATGATTGAACCAAAAGGCTTTTTCATCCTGACTGCAAAGGTATGATGCATAAAACATGTATATATGTATGTATTTTATATGTTCTTACTGAAGAAAATTTTAAATGATGATACTTTTATTTCAAATCAATTATTTGTGCGCTTTTGATGTTTATTTAAGATTATGAATCATAGTTATGTACTAAATTCAAACCATAAAATGATAAATGCAAAAGAGACTAAGGATCAAACTAGTCCTGAATCTCCCCTTCCCCCCCAAAAATTATGAGCTTCAACATTTCAACACGCTATTGTATTTTAATAGTAGTTTTTAGAATTATTTTAATAGTAGGATTTAAGAATTATCATATCATTTGGCAATACATGGGTGGAAGAACATGGTTGGTTACAAAAAAGATTTTCAGTTCTTCTAAATATTAAGAATTCCTAATTTGATGTTTACTAATTGTTCAGAGCGACACAACTACAAATAATTTATATAATAAACAAGGAGAATGAGATTGTGTAGTGTTAGAAGGAAGAAGATAACATTCAATTATCTTAAAGGTGTTATTAGTGTATGATCAATTGCTAATGCTTTAAATATAGATCATATAAAGGGAATTAAGATGCTAGAGAATACAAAATACTTGTTTCGCCCTCTCCTTTGTCTCAATGTTATCTAAATCATCACAGAAAGACTATATTATTATATTAATGTATGCAGATAATATTCCTCCCTAATTGGTCCAGAATTCCATTTCACACAAAGGAGAAGTCTTGCCCTCTTTTTCTTTCTCTTAATATTGAGTCCATTATTTGATTAGCTTGCTGGCAGTAATAGGGATGTATCGTATGTGTCATCAGTGGAAATTGTCAGTTCTTCAGTTATTTCAGTCTCAAATGGTATGGTAAGAGGATCTCTTTCCATTTGATATTTGATCAGAATTCAAAAAATAATTGGCTCGTCAATGCAGTTTGCAGACTTACTGGAATTCTTTTTTCTAATAAAGTGAAAAACCATGAAAAATAACACTTCAGAACAGACTTTACTCCAAAACATTATTCTACTGCTAGACTGTAACAATATATACAACTGCTGCTTTTTCTTCCCTCCATCCTCAGTATACTGTTGTTTGAAATGCAATTTATTTGAGACGACCTCGAAACCTGACAACTGTGATGTTGCCTCTATTTTTTTGCCATTGTTTTTTAACTGTGTCACCTTTCATTTATTTTATTTTTTTAAATTTATATGGTGCCCATCTCACTCTCCAAAGTGACTCTGGGCGCTGTTGCTGCAGCTGCCATCTCCTTGCTCCCTAACTTTGGAAAGTAGACCTTTGGATGATACTGAGGAAAGGAGGAGATGGAAAAATCTACTTTTCTAAACTCCTTCCTGCAAATATGATATTGGATAAAATCTTACTTGTTTTAAAAGAGATTCCTTGTGGAACATATCTAAGGATGGGAAATGGACAGGACTAATTGGACATGCACAGTGTTTGGCCAGTTGAATTGATTTATATTGTTAGCGTCAAAGTCAGTGCTATTTGCTTATATTTCTAATATAAATGGTCTTTGCTTAAGAATAAAATGTCTGTATAATATATATCATAGTATATACAGAGGTTTTTGCAAGTCTGTTTCAATTGCTCCATCCCTTATCTGCCTATTTCCTATCCATAATAATTGCTTCTTCTGTTAACTACTTCTAGACAGTTTTTGCTAAATTACAGAGGAGGATGGAAAGAAGGACAAATCACTTTCTTGAACTGCTTAGATATCCAGCACTTTGGTCATGTTTCTACATGCTGTCATTCTAGGACTGTTTTTTCAATAAAGCTCAGTTCTTTCCACTATCCAATCTATTATGCTGATATTCCTTCCTGACTCTACTTGTACTTGTTACATCCTTAGATGTTCCTTCTTTCTTCTAGGGGCATTCTCTCCAGATCTACTCTATTTCTCTTCAGTGGATTCAATGCCTTGCCCCTTGATACAACTTGAGTTCACAATACACAAACCTTTTACCGCTTAACAAATCATGTCCTAGAAGGCAGAATGCTTCTGTCATTGTTCACAGGAGTCTTAATTAATCCAAGAATTTCAAGCTGTCTGTGTGTCCATTTTCATAGTAAATAGACGGAACTCTAATTTAGGACAAACGGCAACTCACTTATGTAGTCTCAAAATTCAAATCTGAAACCTATTTGATAAATGAATTGTTTTTTTATTTAAGCCATAATAATTGGAGCAGTTGGTTTCACAAATATTAGCATTGTGAAATATCAATATGTACCTAATGAAGAAAATATTAAATATTAAATACACGACAAATACATAAGGATGGATTCATATATTAGGGCTGTACTATGAGAATTAATAACCTTAAATAATTACTTTTGTCTTAATAGATCCTTGAAGCTCTAGCAAAAAGTGATGAGCAATTTGTGCAAAACTGTAGCAACTTAAATAGTATACATGAAGTAATTCCTACCAATCTTCAGAGCAAATTCAGTGCCATTTGTAGTGAAAAAATAGAGCACATTTGCAGAAGGATTACAAGTTATAAAAAGGTAAAAGTTGTAAATTTGCTTAGAAGAAATGGTGAAAATATTCAACTGGAACTAAGTATGGATTACATATACTGTAAATATGTAGAATCAAAGTAAATACATAGATGGTATATAAGTAGGATTTTTATGATACGGTATACTTCAAAATATGCTTGGGAAGGTTTCTAATTCTGCAAAGTAGATTTTGAGAGTGTACTTGTTAAATGGAACAAGATGACATCAGAAAAAAAGTTTAGCCACAAATTGTTTTTTGTGATTCCTGTGCAGTTAAACTTTCTATGATAGACAAAATACTTTTCATTTATTGCTGGTATATTGTAGAAAAATTTAATTATATCTTCAGGACAAGAATAGCAAGAGCATATTGGATCAAGAACAAGTATACTGGTACAACCATGTGGAGGAGGTAGACATATTTACCGAACCTAAAGTTATAAACCCACATATTCCCCATCTGCTCCGATAAGATCTTTGAGAATCTATGAACATGATGCACAATTATTATTTTCAGAACGTTTTCTATTTGAGTGGCTGCTGGAATATGTTTTATTCTAAGGATAGTTTTGTCTTTGTCTTTCAGGTTGAAACAGATTGTCAGGAATGTGATTAACTGTACTGTTAGTTTCAGTGCAAAAGTTTGAAATTTATAAATAATTATGCAATGGCTTTTTATTGTTACCTTATTACTGCAGCATCAATTTAACTACATAATTATAATTTCATGGGCTATAGAATATTCAGATTAAAACAAATCAGATTTGGATATAAAATGTGAATAGAAATGGATGAATAATTGGTTATTTTTCTCACTTATGGAAATGAAACTTGTAGCTCACTCTTATAGTTTTATGAGCTGGGAATGGGTATAATTTATGCTTATCAAAACATAGACTATGTTCAAATTCCTGTTGTGCATGCTTGCATTTGATTGTTTGAAATTGACATTATCTTTAACTCAACAAACGTGTGCTGTTCTCACTTATTTTGATGCAAAAATACAATTTTGTGTGCAGAATTATATGTTGTGGAAGCAGAAACTGTGCAAAAATAAGAGTCTGAAATAATACTTTTCTCACATCTGAAAAATGAGTTGCAAAAGTTATTATGTAGTGCAAACTGGATTCATATAACCTTTTCCTTTTGGATTTGCCTGTAGTTTTCACGGGTCCTAAAAAATCGAGCTTGGCCTACCTTCAAGCAAGCTAAGTCAAAGATTTCACCACTGCATAGCAGTGATTTCTGTCCAACTAATTGTCATATCAATGTTATGGAAGTCTCATATCCTAAAACATCAACGTCACTTGGCAGTGCCTTTGGTGTTCAACTTGATAGCAAAAAACATTTTTCACATGAAAAAGAAAACAATCATATGGAGCAAGGTAAACAGCAAGGTATATCTTTGAAAATTTGTTTCTTTTCTAGTATGCAAGAAATGAAGAGATTGGGTTCATTTAGAGCACGGGTGTCAAACTTGCTGCATCACGTTGCAGTCACGTGACATTTTGCAACGTTTTTCCCATTCGTGGAGCCTGATGCGTCTGGCCCGCAGGCTGCCAGTTTGACATTCCTGATTCAGAGGTATAGAATATCTTAACTGATACCATTATTAAGGGTAAAGAAGAAATTTTTGTTTTACTCAAGGACTAATGATTTTGGACTGTTCTTGCTTTACAAACCAAATACTATCATTGCCACCCTTTCACCTACCTTTTCTAATTTTCCAAAGGCTTCATTCATGCTTGGTTTTTCTCAGAGGAATTTATGAAGAGGGGAATCTGTTGAACAAAACATTTCTCCTTGAGATTTTCTTGTTTATCTGCATGTAGGGATGTCTGGTGCTTAAAGAGCAAGTGGCAGAGAGTGACTGCAATGGCTACAGTTCTTTGGAGGAGTTCCAAAACTTTCAAGCATCCAGCTCATTAACTTTTTCTTCTTTGGGAAAGAAAAAATATATAATATGGGAAATTGCCCCTTTGGCACTGCATAATGGCTATTTTGGTGTAGTGGTAATTGCACACTTATACATAGAGCCAAGTCACATCCATACGTATGATTTTCCATTTTAATTTTATTTATTTATTTGTCGGTGGCAAATGTAGTCTGTAATCACTATTAACTGAAGGATTTTTATTTTGTGATCCATCTAAATTACTGCTTATTTTTCTTCCTCAATTAAATGGTCACTTTATGATTGTAATAACAGGAAGCTGCATCTGTTTATCTAATTCAGCTATTTTTTCATCAGAACAAGTGTCCTATTTAAAGTGAGTGCCATCTTTGCTAAATAAGTGACACATTTTTTCTTTTGAAGTAGTCATTAAACAAGCACTGAAAACAGGAGGAGTGTTGAAGGCATTGTTTGTTTGCTTAATTTACTCTCCTGCCAGCTGAGAAGTAATCATAATAATTTGTGTGTCTATGTCAGCCTGTCTATTTCTGATTCTAGTTTTTGCTAAAGTATGGAGAGATTTTTCAAGAATTCATGTTTTTTCCAGTATTTATATTGTGTAATCATTTCTATTTTAATTCAGATTATTCTGTTTCATTAGCTTGTGGGATAATGTTAAAAACTGAATTATGCTTGTAAAAATGAATTACCGGTAATTAATTTCATCACAAGTGTGGATTTTCAGCATTATGTTTTGCTTGTGTTCTGAATGTGTACAAACTGATTATTAATTGGATTTATGAAAGTGAGCTGGATTTTTTTGCACTTAAATACAGCATTTTATGCAATGTACTTTCTCTAGGTAAACTGAATCCCATGGTTTATATACAACATACTATAACAACCATGGCCGCTCCATCAGGTCACTCATTAGGTCAACAGGATGGCCATGGTTTAAGGTACCTATTAAAAGAAGAAGATTTAGAAACACAAGACATCTATCAGAAACTGTTATGCAAATTACAGAGTACATTAAAGGAGGTGGAAAACTGTGTTTTTCAAATAGATGAGTAAGTAATCCTAAGGTTTATGGATTGGGATATTAATATATATATATATTAGCTTTCTATAATTATAGCTTTAACTTACATTGGTATTTTTCTTGGAGAACCATAAGTCTGTGATAATTCCATGCTGCCTTTGCATATTCAGTACTTGATATTTGTGAGTTGGACAAATAGTTATTCAAATAAATCAAACCAATCAATAACTCCATTGATTTCATTAAGATACGTCTAATAACAAATAGAATTTGTTATTCAAATTCAAACTTTTGAATTTGTTATTTTGAATTTCTTCCAGTTGGAACAGGCTCTGGCTTTAATTTAAAACTTTAAAGTATTATGTGTATGGAGTAAGTGAACAATATTAGGACAGAGTAATTCCTGAGTGGATGTTGTATGAGCCTAGCCACATTAATTTCCTGCTTCTGTTTTAAGAGTATGCCATGTTTGCAGTTACAGATTTTCATATAAATTAGAGGTATGCATTATTTTTAATTACCTCTATTAAATTTATAAATTTCAGCCTTCTGTCTTCAATAACATATTCTCCAAGTTCACAACATACAAACCATGAATTGTTAATGTCAACAGACAGTGATAATGAAAAAGGAGAACGCAATGGAAAAAAAGTATGCTTCAATGTAGTAAGTGATGAGCAGGAAGATTCTGGTCATGACACTATAAGCAACCGGGATTCATATAGGTAATGTATCCTTTAATATAATAATAAACACCAAATTTACAATTTTACTATGTATAATGATACAATGTTAATTAAAAAAAACTGTTACATAGCGTTATTAAGTAATTAAGTAATACATATCATCACATAGCATTATTAAGTAATACATATTGGGCTATTTGTGCTTTTATTTCCAAGTAAAGAGCTTTTTAATGTGTACTTTGAGGCAAACATGCCAAATTTGTACCTTCTGATTTAATATACTGATATGAATGAAGTTTCCCATTGTCACAGCCATTCCTCTCTCTTGAACGATATTATTGTTCGCATTGTTTTATTCTTTGTTGTTAGCCTCCCAGAGTCCCTTGGGAGTTGGGCGGCATAAAAATGCGACTAATAAATAAATAAATAAATAAATAAATTATCCTTTCTTAGAGGTCTCGGCTGTTAATACATTTTCAGTGAACTTAAACCCACTTCCCTCTTCAATTGTAGCCTTTTGCACTACATTGCAAGGTAGTGCTAAAATATATAAATATACCAGCATTAATAAGTTTTTTTTATCCCAAGACACAAATAAAATTTATTGTATGCCTTATTTAATAGTACAAAACATGCTAAGAAAGTATTTGAAAGAATTGCCTAAAAAACATACACATTCTTGAAGGATTTATAATTTTACATTTTTCTTCTTTTTAGTGATTGCAACAGCAACCGGAATTCTACTGCTTCTTTCACCAGTATTTGCAGTAGCCAATGCAGTTCTTATTTTCATAGTGATGAAATGGATTCAGGTGATTTTCAAATGTGTTTGTGTGTGCATATTTATGTACTTAATTAGGGGACGTGTATGAGTTTTGCTTACTAGAACTTGTATTCATTGATTTTACTTTATATAACTTGTATACTGTCACAATTACACATTTACAAAATTAAGTCATAAAACACTACAACCAAGAAAAAAATCACAATTGAAAATACGATAGCAGTAATTAAGCAGCAATGAAATAAAGATATTAATTCCCCCCAAATTAATGTGTGTATATGATGAAGTTGGAAATAATGTCCTTCTTTCACTTAGCTGCAAGTATTTTCTTTATTCAGAAACTTCATTTCCATTTAATTGAACTGGATAGGCGAGATATATTAAACTAGTTTACCCATCATTAACTCACATCTGTGGGACAGACAAATTATATTTGAAAATCAAGATAGTTTTCTATAGTCTGTAGAAAGAAGAACAAAACAAAAGATGGTGTTAATAGCATAAATCTGATTTTCCCCCCGTCTCACTCCACAGTCTAACACTTTACTTAGGGTAAAGGATGAAATATGTTGGAATATTACTATAAATCTGAATGATTTAGCAATGAGTTAAGCAATAGGAACTTGAGTGAAATGAAGAAAATCGAACTAATTACTGGAACCTTTTTCCAAAAAGAGAAGGAAACCAGTGCTCTGTTAGCAAGCTTAGTGACAGTTCTATTTCTAGATATTTTTCAACATCAAGATAATTCAAATATGGAATATGAATATCTCTGATCTAAAATCAACTATGATTTCAAATATTGTCTTATTAGGTGATGAACTTCCTCAGAGCATCTGCATTTCTCATGATAAGCAGGATAAACTTTATGGTTGCTTGGAACATCTTTTTGGTCAGGTAAGCTATTTCATTTCAGTTTTCTTCTGCCCTGTAACATGTGACAGAGTTATGAAAGTGTTGGGAGGGAATTGGATAAGATTAGAATCAAGGTGAGCGAAGTCAGTAACTGTCTGGCACAGTGAACAGGCAAAAAGAGGCCATGAATAAGGTAAACCATGCTGGTTTCTATTATGCTTTTACTATGCTATGGTTCATTTAAGCAGCAATTATGAATAGACTATAGCTCACAGGTCACAACCAAGAATAGTCATAGTTTTCAATTGGATAGACTTACACTGCATACTAAACCAAGACAAATAAATCACATTTCACATCTCTGCAAGGAACTAAAGTCGATTGATACCTGACACTGGTTGAGAAAACATCAGAGTGGTTAGTTTTTTTTTCTATAGGCAAGCTTACTGAGTTGTTAAAATATCTACTTTGATTCTCGTTTGGTTTTGACATTTTTGATTTGTCTGCTAAGACCAAAAATGGTGGTAGGTTTGTCCCTCCCAGTTGAGTTCAAATAAAATATATAATTGTGTATTTCCCACATCTCTGTTTATGCTGTTCTAACAAAGGCCTAGGTTTCCCCCTAGATCTAGCATATATTATAGTATTTTAAAGCAGATTGAAAGGATTATCAGAATAAACTTTTTAATATTTATTAATCATTATTGAATCCAACAGGTAGATTCAATTATTAATCTACTCAAAGGTCCAGCAGTGGCTAGAGCTTTTGAGCAAACCAAGTTCTTCACCCCGGGTCGAAGTTTTCAAGGTATTAATTTTGCAAAGCTAAGTATGACACCGAGTGTAGTTTCTAGCACTTTTATTAGCAGTATTATAATTAATAATATAAAAATTAGAAATGTATTTTGCATTATATTTAGAGAACTACTGGCTGTAAACATTTTATGGGCCTTTTTTTGCACGCAGGTTGCTGTAGCAGAAGGAATTGTGAAAAAAAAGTGAAGAAATTAATTGGTTCTTATTGTGTTGTGGAAGATATATTCAAGAAAATGCAATAAATATTTAACCTTTTAAAGAAAACTTTTTAAACAGCAGTCTGAGCTTGACCAGTATTTTTTCTATTCTTACAGATCCCATTTTCATTTTTACTTTTCTCTAGATCTTTTCATTTTTCATTTCTCCAGATATTTTTTTCATAATCTATTTTTTTTGCCATTCTCTGCTGAAAGAAGGAAATATGTATGTGTGTGTGTGCATGCTTGTGTGTTTCTCTGTGTTTCTGTGTGTAAGAGTCATATGTGCATGGAAGACAATCGTTGGTATATGGCAATAGAAATCATTTAATGTTATTAATGGGATCTCTAATTTTAAGTAGTTATTGCACTCTCTCTCACACAGAGACTATTTTTTTCTATTCCATTATTCCCTTTTTAGGAGCATGCCTTCAAGCAAGAATTAATATCCATATGTACTGGTACTTTCATTCAGACATATACACACAAACCCAAATATATATATAATTGTGGAAAGAGAGAAGTGGCAAGATTCAGTTCATCTGAACTGTCAATTTTATGTTGACAAAGTGAACATTATTTTCTGTCTGCTCTTCATTTTTAGGAAAGATCATCTTAACTTCTTCTTTGGGTATAAATAAATTGTACTTATACCCAGTGAGAACGGTTGCATGAATGCAACCCCCAACCCGAAATTGACTTAGAAAACAAAGTGTAACTGAATTCTCTCCTAAATATGGGAGTCCAGGGAGACATGTAAAGGTCTGTTCAATGTTGCAAGGCTAGGATGGTATTCTTCTGCAAACGTACAACTGGAAAGGAATATAACTATAAGGGTATTACAATCAGGTAAAAATATTCTAGCAAAATTAATAATTCTGGTTTTGCCTAGAATTTCAGCAAGAAATTGAACTTAAGGTGAACTGCCCAAAGAAACTGAGGCTTCATATTAAACAAGATCCTTGGAACCTCCCCAGCAGTGTTCAAAACCTTTCTCAAAGCATCCGAAAATTTGTGGAAGGTTAGTAATTCATCTACAGCAGATCTTGTTGTATTTTACTTAGACAGAAGTTATGAAATATAAAAGAACGTTTTGATAGCTTTTCAGATGTTTCATTAACCAATTGAGTATCATCATCAGTACAACGTGGGTAATTACACGTTATAACAGTAGCTACTGTTTATATACAGTAGCTTGCCCTCCCAGTATTGTTGGAGTTGTGTTTTTTTTCCTTAGTAGTTTGGAGCTTGGGGTATTGTCTTCTGCTTGATTGTTTGCTGGTGTTAATTTCTGCTTATCTGGGTGTTGGCTGCTAGAGAGATTCTGTTCTGGTCTTTTGTTTCCTTCTTAGATTTTTTTATTGTCTCTTTTGAAAGGTGTGTAAATACGATTTATGTTTATGTGTCTATTGCTAGCTGATTTGTCTTAATGCAAATCATTTATGGGTATGGATGCATGTGCTGAAATGAGGAAATTGACATTTGAAATTAGAGAACAGGAAGATAAACAATATTATTTGATATGGGACTTATTTTACCAATGGCTAGATAATAAAGCATGGAAATGAAATATGAAATATGAAATGGATGTAATAATAAAATATATAAAGCATTTTTTATGGGACATAAGCCATTGTTAAATAATTGGTAAATGAGAATATGGATATGGGATTAAACACAAAAGATTTGTAACCAATCGATACACTTTCTGTAATTGTAATGGATGATGATGGTTTTAAGTTTTGCTTAAAAATAAAAAGTTTTTTCAAAAAAAAAATAATTCAAATCATAACTATAGCCAAATTTAATAAGTAATATCCTCTCCAATCTAGTTGGCAGCAAAACTGAGCCCTAAAATAATATTAATTAACAAGTATAAAACTGAACATTCCATATCTCAGCTCTTAAGTATAAGCAAATCCACATTTAGAAGATATAAAGTGTTTCCAGTAATCTAGTATGAACAAGAGACTGAAATTTAATATGAAAAAGTGAGATAAGTTTTCCTTTAAAGAGAACAAGTTCACAAGAATCCCCTTTTTAAAGAGGATTGTAAGTCACTTAGTAACTTTGGATAGTGAGATAAATATAAATTTAATAAATAAAAAGGACAATCAAACAGAAAGTAATTTAAATGCTCTCAAATTAGGTTACATAAAGTAACGAGCAAAAATGCTTAAACATTATGTTAATTGTAAGAATCTCCAATACAGCATTTTTTCAGGTCAGATGTCAGCAAATCCAAAGAACACCATCCAAAATACATGTAACATGTCTTTTGGATGGAACATAAAATACAAGTAACATTTTAATTCTGATCAAATAAACCAACAGTTTCTTTTTTTTATGTAAAACAATCTTTCTATTTAATTCATTCAGCTGATTATCATTCCTTGTTTTGAATTACTTCAGAATTTCAAAAAGCCTCTTTTGTAAGTCCAGCAAAAATAAGTAATTCCAATAGCTTTCTGGAATTGACATTTTTATTTCCTTCTTAAAAGCATCATCTGATATAGACACTTGTATATCTAATGACAAATTCTTGTTCACTTTGTTCTCAGACAGACTCTTACTTTTTCTGTAATAGCTTCTTCTGGGAACAGACGGTCCTGAGAAGACCCAGCACAGCTGACATTATTGATTCAAAGTCCAGATGCAATTCCTCAAAAATTCCTTTGAACATCATAATAAGTTGCCTGTCTCTAATGTGCATATACTTTTTAAAATCAATTAAAGGTCATAAAGATGCAGCTTCATTTTCTTATATTAAGGATCAAAGAATTCATCCAGCGTTTCCAGCCTTGTCATTTTGAAGGGACTTAATTTCTTTAAAACAATTAATAAGACGATTTCCAAAAGTGATTAGTAAAGGAAATGTGAAAATTATGGCTGGAGCAAGTATGGAAAATTTTCTCAGGTTCCAGTTTTCCAACCTTATGGAGACTATTGCTTTGCATAATTCTCATAAGATACAACCATATAGAGTACAGGTTGAGGAACCTTACATACTCTTTTTGTCCAGAGAGGGTTGAAGGAACTGATCTACTCAACTGCTCCCTGTACTTAACTATAATCATTGGCTTTGTATCATGTGGAACCATCTTCAGCCTGCCATTCTTTTCTAGGAGTCCACTGCCTCATATATCTTTATGGTATCTTTTCCCTGGTCTTGCATCATAAAGTACCTGTTCCTAGTTTCCATAGCTGCAATCCCGTCTGTTTTACAATCTATCTGGATCCTTTCCATCTTGGTTTTGAATAAGTGCTTCAAACTCTCTCAAGGTCTCACCTTCTAGCCTGAGATCATTTTTTAAAAAAAATTTGATTTATATGCCGCCCTTCTCCGGAGACTCAGGGCGGTTTACAATGCGTTAAACAAACAATTTTTTATTATTCCAGCAATTTGTAAATACATTAATCATGGTAAATTTCAGGCTTCATTGAACAGTTTTGCTACGTCTTTAGTCTATTTTCTGAATCTATGTGCCATATTGACATATATGATTAAATATTTTTTTGCATACTATAGATAGTTATCCCTGAAATAATAAATGGTGTTTGATGGCAAAGCTATTATTGGTAATGTTACTGGACTTATTGTTTTCTCTGATTTTTCTTTAGATGGTATAAATATTTTACCCTATATGTATAGTCTTTGTATTTCATTGATAACTGTGTCATTTTGAATAGAAAAATATGAAGATCCTTGTTGTTCCTTTGCCTATTGATTGAAAGACATATTGCTTAATAATAGAAATTTAAGGTTGAATAGAAAGGGACAATCCGTCCCTGGCCTGAGTGCCAAACATGATTTTGTCTCTTCAGGATCTTCTATTTTTCTTTTTCCAGAGGTAAAAGCAAGAGTCCTTCTGGCACTTCTTCAATATACAGGTAATTTTTATTTAAAGCTGTTGATTAACTTTTGTAAATGTATTCATTTGTGCTCTCTCAGTTTGATTGTTTTCTTGCAGATGTTTCATTACCAAACTAAGTAACATCATGAATATGTGGTTTGATAATGGAACATCTGTAAGAAAACACCCAAGGTCAGAGATCACCAAGGATCCCACAGTTCAACTCTGAGCTACAAATATTCTTTTTATTGTTACTTAAGTAAATAAGTAAGTGAAATAGTTTAGTATTTAGTAATTGATATTAATCTGCTCTGGATAAGGTTACATCTTATGGACTTACAACTTATTTTTGAGGAACAGATGATAAATATGACCAGGAAGTTCTTTTGCATAAATCCATTTACAGGTGCTCCTTATTTAACAATGGCAATGGAGACCAGAATTTACACCACTAACTGACTCAGTCATAAAGTGTGATGTCATGTGGCTGCACTATTCACTGACAGAAATCCCAGTACTTCTAGTTGCCATTGTTAAGCAAATCATTCTTTGTCATTAAGCAAGAATGTCACATAGTCAACATTTGTAACTTTCTGCTAGCTTCCCTATTGATTTTGTTTGTCGGAAGCTGACAGTGAAGGTTGGAAATGGTGATCATGTGACCGATCATGTCATGTGACATTGTTACCAAGTCATTGTGAGCCAGGTGCCAAGCAGCTGAATTGTGATCATGTGCGGTGGGGATGCGGTGACAGCTACAATTATGTAGAAACATTGTAAGCTCCCTTTATTCAGCACCATCATAACTCTGAACAGTTGTTGAATGAGTGGTTGTTAACAAGGACTTCCTCTATAGATACATGAGTGAGAAAGATCCATGAATCTTATTGGACTTTCTGAGCAAGCACATATAAGATTGTGACATAAAGAGGTAACTGATCATTTATAATACAGAAGGCAGTTGCCATGAAAGTAGGCTAACTTATGGATATGTATTAGATGTACATGCAGAATAAAAAAATATTATCTCATACATATTTAAATTAAAGAAGATTCCATAGCAAATAATGTTTTTGACATTTGGATGTGTACTAAGGTAGAATAATTTAATAATTAAATTCATTTATGATGTACCTGTAGTCTACAAGCTTACTCTATGGCATTTCTTTGATTAGCCTGTGCAATCGAACCTATAAGTATATATATTATTTGGTGTTTAATAGCAATTTTTGTTCCCAGAAAACAAGATCAGTGCATAGGACTACACTTACTTTCTCATCAATTTAGATGATTTTCCACCTATTTTTCTTATTATGCTCTTTTCAGATAGTGAAATACAGCTCAGGAGAGACATGGTCTTCTGCCAGAGTCTAGTTGCTACAGTTTGTGCATTTTCAGAGCAATTAATGGCTGCCTTAAATCAAATGTTTGACAATGGTAAGGAGTGTGAAATGGAAACACAAGAGGCCAGTAGGAGATGGTTGGAACAGATATCTACTGCAGGTGTTCTCCTTTACTTCCAGTCACTGCTGTCACCAAACCTGGTGAGAAATCCTATGAATGTCTATATAATATTGACCAATACTTTATTATCCTGAACAAAACCTGAAATAAAATTTTGTAAAAGAGCAATTTTTCAATAATGCTGTTGAATATTTACTGATAACATTCTTTATTATTCTAAAGACTTGGTAAATCAGGAAGCCCCCACAGTGAGCTAAGTGGCAAATAAATTTAACAAATACTACTACTAATAACAATCCTTCAATAATATCTCTAATACCATCAAACATTAATATCTGCCTATCCTAGGTCCTTGAGAAGGTCTCAATAGGTGGATAAAAATGCCAGATCCAGTTTGAGCATCTGGCTGAATGTGTGACAATCTATAATATGCCAAAGTAAAAGAACCAATTAGCTCATATTAATATCCAAAATTACTTCTAGCCTTTTAGATCTTTTTGTTGCTTCTAATTATGAACATTTTCTTAATTTTGAAGGGCTCACTGAAGCTGGAACTGGGAAAAGTTTGAGACTATTGGACATAGTATTTCTGGCTCAATATCATTAACTACAATCCTTAAGCCCTCATTTGTGTGAAAATGTGGTTCTTCTCCCTTATATGTGATTTGGCTTCAATCCAATTTTCTTCAGGACTTCTTTTGTAACCTGTGATACCAGGATCCATTTGATTAAATCTACTTAATTTCACTTAAGTTTCGATGAAGTGGTGGTACAGCTTAGTCATTAAATTGACTATAGCCTAGTTCTCATAGGACTTCTGTCTGGAATGAACATATTATATTGTAGTTGTTAATGCTGTTGAACATTGGTGTCTTAAATTTATATATTTTTAATTTATTCCATCATAAAATAGTTTCTTAAATAATACTGAGTTGTGATTATTTTTGATTTCTGTGGTTTTATATCCTATATTCCTCAATTTTGAAGTAGTTTTCCCCAGTGTGGTATTTCAGGCCACCAATATGTCTACAGAGATCTCTTGGCACCCATCAGCTCCCTTTTTAACTGAGCTTAATTTTCAACCAGTTATTTTCATTAGCAAAGAAAAATCTTGGAAAGCTACAAATGAAGTGTCAATCTCACACATGTGTACATCAAGTGTTGCTGGAAAATAAAAATAGCAAGTGGGTTCAGCCTAGTTGTTTGTTTGGAAATGTGTTCTTCTACAGAGGAAAAAAAAATCAAAGAATGATCTGGGTCTGGGATGTAGACAGATGAATCTTGAAGAGATTTTATGGGGAAGCAATGAACAGTTTCATATGTATACCTCTGGTGAATGGATGCTGTGATGCTGGAAACACACCAAATGAAATGGAATAATCAAACTACCATGGCAGGCCATTCTGTGTTTGTTTGTGTGTACTCATGATTGTGTAGCCATGATTTGTCCTCAGAATTTTAGATATTTATTTATTCATTCAATTTCTGCCCAATTCAACTAAGTGACTCTGGGCTTCTAACAATTCTAAAATTATAAAAGAATTAAGCTAGCAAATGTAAAAACATCCAGAAAATAAATACAAACAGCAGTAAATATAATTAACTAAGAGCCCCATGATTGGAATGTGAAAAACTTACAAATTATTTTAAAAGCCACAATACAGAACTTCATTTTCTTTTTAATATACTAAATATTTTAACTTACAAAGCCAGGGTAAGCACTTAAGCTTGGTTTACAGCCGGGGTGGGTTCTACTTACCTTTACTACCGGTTCGCAACGGGAGTGTGCATTGGATCAAATTGGATCTGACCGAGAAGGAGCTCAGCAGAAGCACCTCACTGAGGACTATGAGCATAGGCTTTCCAAGCAGAGGAAAGACTTGCGGGAATGCAAAGCCAGATACAGGTGCCTGGAGGTTCAGCAGGCTGAGATGGTCAGCGAGTTCCAGGCCATGATGCAGTCCCTCTGGAAAAGGTCCTCTGGCTCTTCGCCACCAGTGGGACTTCCCTCCAGCCTTTGCCCAAAGCCCCACACCAGGAGGCTGAAGCAGACCCCAAGTCGGAATTTCTGCCTCCCTCCAACCCGAACAAAAAGACCCCGAAGGGGGAGACTCTGTAGTAACACAAGCGTTTATTGCATGTATCTGACCCAGGACCCCTGATTTAGTGCAATATAAAAAATGCACATAATTTTTCTGCGGACCACCAAAATTTTCTTGCGGACCACCAGTGGTCCATGAACCACCTGTTGGTGACTGCTGATTTATACAGTACACTATATTATCAACCTAATAAAACATTAGGTTGATGAAAGATAACTGACCTTTAATAGCTTAACGATGTCTCTGGAAATTGTGATACATCTACATTATTTCGCATTTAACTGATTAGAAAATAATCAGAAATTCCTTTTTCCTTCTAAGTTCTATAAATCTGCCTTCTAATAGGCTATAGTTCTATGTCAATGTTTTCTTTGTTAGCAACGTGAGAAAATTATAAATTATTTTAGAAGGCACACTAATACAAAACTTCATTTTCTTTTTAGTGTATTAAATATTGTAACATACAAAAGCCAGTGTAAGTACTTAAGCTTGGTTTGTAGTAACACATTTTAAATATACTCACTTACTTGAACAATTAAAATTCTGTGCAATTAAATTACACAGCCAACACAGTAATTAACTTTTGGTTCTGTATACATTGCTGCTAATAATTTGACAAGAGAAGATGGAGTAAAATTCAATAGAAGTCAATCCATATTAATTTACTGATGAGTCACTTTATTGCTTCAGTGAAAGAGGATATGACCATCTGCAGTTAATGTTTATAATAATCAATCTAGCATGATTACTACATTCTGTCTCTATATATTTCCAGACTGATGAACAAGCTATGCTAGAAGACACATTGATTGCATTATTTGATTTGGAGAAAGTTACATTTTATTTTAAACATTCTGAACAGGAACCTTTAGTAGCAAGTGAGTATTGTAAAGTATACTTAAATTTCCCCTTTCAATATTTGTTGTAAAATATTAGAGGATATAACTATACATTTTCATTTGTGTCACATTTGCTTGTATAGTAATCATCTTTGCATTGTTATGCATATGCAAAATTTTAAACTTTTAATCATTTTGAGGAGAATGGTAATACGGTATACAATATTTATCCCATCTTTCTTACTTCATAAGTAACTCAAGATGGCAAACATAATCCTTCCTCCTCCTTTTTTCCCCCCACAACAAGAAACCTGTGAGATGAGTTGAACTGAGAGGGAGTGATTGGCCCAAGGTCAACTTTCATGCCTGAAGTGGGATTAAAACTCATGGTCTCCTGGTTTCTAAGCCAACATCTTTACCTCAATGGTGAAATGTAAAATTTGTTACTACTGGTTCTGTGGGCATGGCTTGGTGGTGGTGGGAAAATATGACTGAGTGGACGTGGCCAACTTTTTGAAATGGTCCCATTTAGTATTCTCATTGGGATTTCATTTGTACCCAATAAATTAATGCTTCCTGTTAACATCCCCATTACTCCATGTAGTAGGCTATCTCTGCATTTTCATATCTTTAGCCAACAGTATAAGGTAAGGAAATTAACTATGTAATGATACTGTGACATAAAATTAATATTTTTACTTACACAAACATTGTGGCAGAAGGATTCAATGTTTAGCATTCAGATAGTGGGTCAATGTAGATTTTTAATTTCCTATTGTTGTGATATTTTGGTTGATGGTTGATTTAGTTTTACTTTTTCAAAATATTTGTAAATCTTTGCAAGAAATCCCAAAAACTTTGGATTGGTAATTTTGACTAAAATGTTATTTTATTTTATTTTTAGATATGCCAATCACATATCAAGCAGAAGGAAGTCGGCAAGCTATGAAAATTTATTTTTATCTTGATAGTTACAATTTTGAACAGCTTCCTCAGAGGCTGAAAAATGGTGGAGGTTTTAAACTTTACCCAGTTCTATTTGCACAAGGTAAAATATTTTCAAGTTCATCTTTTCTTAACAGTTTTTAAAAGCTTATAGGAAAAATAATACACAGTTACTGGCATTCTGAAGTATTCATGGATACAGCAGTATTTTGAAGAAAATCACATCATGCATAAGTAAAATGTATGTATTTTACTTATGCAAATATGTTATTCTACATATTTGAATATTTTATTGAGGATGTACTATAGCAGTGATGGCTAACCTTTTTGCCATCACGTGCCCCCCTGAGGCCCTCCGGAGACCGAAAGTTGGCAAACGGACCATTTCCAGCCTCCGGAGGGCCTCCGGGGTGGGGGAAGCTGTTTTTGCCCTCGCCAGACTCCTAGAGAGGCTCTGGAGGCTGGGGAGAGAGAAAAACGGACCTTCCTCACTACCCCCCCGAGGCCCTCTGGATGCAGGAAACAGCCTGTTTCCCTACTTCTGTTGGACCCAGAAGGCCTGAAAATCATCAGGCTGGCACGCACATGCGCGCTGGAGCTGAGCTCACGTGCCCACCAATATGGCTAGGGTTGCCATCACGGTCGTATAAGAATATGTATGTCCTCTATGCAACAGTGAAATACACAACATTCTTACTTAACATGTAGTATTATATATTTAAAGGTACAGAAAAGAACAAGTTTCTGATATCTTTCTACTTAAAGAAAATATTTCCTTGAGGAATGATTTTATTTTAGGTAATATGACCATGTGCATTTCAGTCCCATGTGTGTTTGTGTTAGCTGCGGAAAAGCAGTATCATATTTGGAGAATTACAGTATCTATAGATATATAGGAAAACTGGAAAAAATAAATCAATGGATCAGTCTGATATGAATCTGTGTTGTTTTCTTTGCATTCTTTTATAGCCCTGGAAAGTATGGAAGGATATTATTATAGAGACAATGTATCAGTAGAAGAATTTCAAGCCCAGATTAATGCAGCTTCATTGGAAAAAGTAAAACAATATAACCAAAAACTCAGGTGAGTAAATAACTATTTGTTATTTCTAAGCACAAACTTGGATCACGATGCTAAAACAATACGGGCAAAAGTCCTGCTTTAGTGGATCATAGTGTGCAAACACATTCAGTTTTTTCTTTTTTTCCAATCTGAAATCAGTCTAGTTAACATTTTGACTGATTACTGTATTTTTTGGACTATAAAACGCTCCGGACTATAAGATGCACCTAGCTTTTGGGGAGGAAAACAAGAAAAAAAATCTGCCCCTGCCTCCCAGCAATTTGCCTCCTTGCAGCAAACAGCAAACAGCCTGGTCAGCTTCAGCATAGCCTGATTTAGCACGAGCAGCTGATTGGCAGTTGGATCGGCCTCCCGGAACACCGCTGATCAGCTGTTCCAGGTTGTGAGGATTGCTGCTGCCCATCGCTCCCATCTCCCCCACCACCTATTGCCGCCTCTGCGTGCCCCACCGCCGCCTATCCCTGCCGCCTGGAACGGTCTGAAAATGGGGCACACAGAGATAAAAAATGGGACTTGCGGTGGCCAAAAATCAGGTGCATGGAGGCCAAAAACGGGACATGCAGAGGCCAAAAATGGGGCACGTAGAGGTAATAATAGGCGGCGGTGGTGATGGGTGTGGTGATTCTCGCAATCTGGAATAGCTGATAGGTGGTATTCCAGGAGGCAGATCCAACCGCCAATCAGCTGCTCATGATAAATCAGGCTGTGCTGAAGCTGACCAGGCTGTTTGCTTTTTGCTGCAAGGAGGCAAATTGCTGGGAGGCAGAGGCTGAAGGGTAGGGGCTGGCGGATGGGTGGTAACATTACCACCCACTTCTGGGGGGGGGACAGTAAAGTGCATTTTATACACCAAAAAATACGGTATATAGGGAAAATAAAAACTGAATATATCACATATAATTTTCAATATAATCCCTATAACCTATTCAGCCAACTTTACATGCATATTTTGAACTTCATATGTACTATGGTTTTTGTTTTATTATTTCACTCTATGATTTGATTTTTTCCAGTACTGTGAATCTTCAAGTATATCAAGATAATTTTGTTGTAAAACTGCCTCTTTTAAAGATATGGAAGTGAATCTAAGTGTTACTAGTTATGTAAAAAAGACTGATGGGCATATAATACCAAATCATCTCTTATGAACATGATAACTTAGCTGATGAGTTTTTAATGTGGTGAATTTCTCATTAACTTAGTAATGTGATTTTTAAAAAACAGTAATTCATATTTTTCTCACAAATTAAAATAGATGTTCAGATTAGAAGGAAAATTTGTATTTCATCTTTCCTTCCAAATGCTTTACAACTTAGTCTTTTTATTGCTTGGGCGGTTTAAAGACAAATAACAGTAAATTTCTTTCAGTACCACAGTGCATCAGAACAGTATATTATCTTTCATTCTTCTCTCTCAGTAACAAAAGCATTATTTTATATTGTACAAAGTAATTGTATTTCTATGTGAATCCAACTTTATCAACAAATATGTTGAGTTAGCAACAGCTGTAATGTCATTCATGCACACTCCTTTGGTATATTTCCCTTCTGTCCTGTTCCAAACAATAGACTTATTGCTATATTGTTTTCACAATGCAACACAATTCCTTTTCAGGTTGAATATATCCCCATGGTATGCCAAATGATAAAACCAAGACAAAGTTCTAGTTTAGTAGACTGCAGTCCTAAGAACTAAATCTGTTTTTCTAATCTCCATTTGTTTAATTCCTTTTCAACCTGAAAAGGTTTACACCTTTGAAAGTTGTGCATGCTTCAAAAAATGTTCATGCTTTATATTTCATGAAAGCTCAGCATTACTCTACAATTTATTAGCAAAACTGCTTCTATTTTAGATTTGATCAAAAGTCTGAAAAAATATATTGTTTTTCAAGAAAGTTTGATGTGTTTATCAAACTTTCTGCCAATGGCACTTGGATTTTGTAATTAGTCTTTGCTAATTCTGTTTTCTTCAGGACACTTTAAAAAATTGCTTTGTTTTGTTTTGTTTTCAGGTTGTATTAAGGTTTAGCGGTGTCTATTTACTCTGAACCTGGGTTGATTGGAAGATGATTTCAATCAGAATAAATTTCCAGAATGATCCTTATGGGGCTAGGAGATAACTTCATCTGCATTCCTAGATTGTATTGATATATTAGGTAGAAGGTTGCTAATTTAAGTGTTGCCTGAGGATTTTAAAAAAATAAAATAATATATAATACAAGTTGAAATCTCATTTTATTTAAGTGTTTATTTATTCAATTTACGTGGCCGCCCATCCCATTAAGTAACTATGGGATGGCAAACAATCTTAATAAATTCAAAACCAATTTGAATAGAAAAATTAAAATATGTAACAACTGAGGAGGATGTGTCAGTCAATGGTGGTTAGCATAACTATGAAACACAGGAGGTTGATTGTCCTTTGTTGGACATTTTCAAAAGAATTTTGATACTTATTTTAGGAGGATAGCGTAGAATCTCTGTGGTGGGCATGAAGTTGAAGTAACTGATTTCTAAGATCCCTTTCAACCTTTACATTCTATAATCCTATGTTAAGATCTGTCAACATATTTTGCAGCAATGAATTCCACTGGTTCATTATGCAGTGTATGGATAAATACTTTCTTTTGTCTGTTCGTAATTGCCTTCAAATCAGCTTCATTGGAACAATCCTGGTCCTAGTGTTTTGACAGAGGGGAAAAACTCACGCTCAAACCAGATTTACAAAACGGGTTTTTGTTTTTGTCCTTTTCTTCAGAGAGGTGGAACAGGAATAGCTTCTGAGCTGCAAAGTGAGGCTCTAGTTCGTATGCATTTCTCTTTCAGTTTTCCTCACTCCCAAACCACTGATATATGTTTGGGGAGGTGATATGGGCGGGAAACCTCACATTGCTTTTCCTAACTCCACTACAAAGCTAAACAATGCATTTATTCAAAGACAGCTGAATGCATACTCTTTTTATCCTAGTGGACACAACTTCCCCCAACACTAAGGAAGGGTAGAGAGGTGAATTCCACCCATACATAAGATATAATTTTCACTCCTGCCAGCTTTCTCTCTTGCTCTCTCTCCCTAATCCCAGGTTTGCAAAGCTGAAAGTCACATTTTTAAAAAAGGAAGAAAAAATTTGGTGGGTGGGTGGAGGATGAGAAGAAAGTGGTGGCAAACCTGTCTTCATTTTTATAAAGCCGTCCAACTGAACCAATGTGACACAGAGTGTATGCAACAATAAACAAGCAACTCCCCCATCACACAACATTAAAAGATTCACTATACAATATATAAATATAAGAGGAAAAATATGAAACATTCAGCTTCCTTTTGTACTAGTTGCGATGTGGTGAGAGAGGTAGAACAGCAAAGAAGGAAAATAGAGCAGTCAGCCTCCTGTCAAATGTGATGAGGCAAGGGAATTCTGTGTTTCACCAGAGAATTTTGAACTGCAGATGGTGAGGACAATTGGGGAAAAGGTGAATTGTATTAAAATGCATTGAGCATTAATTGCAAATGGAGCAGATGTTGGTATACAGTAGCAGACTCATGCTCTTACATTAAATAACCTGGGTTTACCAACAGAAGGTTTAAAATTCTGCTCCTTCACCCGGGGAATGATAGGTAGTAAGTCAGACAAGCCAACCTTGATGTAGAACAGTACCAAGTTTTCTCTGTCAGTATACAGGTATTCTAAGTTTACAACAACAAAAAAACAACGACCCTCAAAAATATCTACTAAATTTTAAAAGCTATAAAGCAAACAGTTTCTGTACATGCATAAGCATTAAGATTTCATCCTTATCATTTTAAGTAGATTAAAAATGGTGTTTTTTTTCAGATAATATGCCAACTTTTCCATTAGCTTTCTTCATAACATCTGATTGAGGTTCTCAACAATCATTTAATAATTAAGTGAAGTGCTTTGCAAATTTGTATGCTATCCACTGCTTTCCAGTTTCTCAGAAACACCAAATACTCTTTTGTGAAAAGCCACTGGAAGTTGCTCTATCAGTTTTCACTCATGTGTCAGCTAATTAAGGAGGAAATATTTTTTTTGATATGTCATATTTTAAAAGTCTAATTAGTATTTGGGAAGAATAGCTTTACCTCCATAGCCAGTTTGATGTAGTGGGTAAGGCACTGGACCAGAAACTAGGAGGCCATGATGAATTCTAGTCCTGCTTTAGATACAAAGCCAACTGCTGTTTTTTCACTTGTGCTGAAAAAAAGTTCAGAACAATATTTAAAAAGGACTCTCCCAGCAGCACCTATATAATGACCATGTATAGAAAACAGTGAAGTTACGTTTGTAGAGGTATGCACCACTCCAAATTAATCATGTCTGCATTCACACACAAACAAACAATCGTAAGATTTTAATTTTAGAAGTAGTTTGTTGTGTACCACTGAATCAAAGGCTTTACAGAAGTCTATATAAATTGCATCTATTGCTTTACCCTGGTCAAATTGTGAAATCCATATGTTTTTGCAGTGTAAGAGTTGCAGATTGCAGGACAATTTTTTTGTGAAGCCAAACAGCTGTTAGAGAGTAGGTTGTTTTTCTCTAAGTAGCAGGTAATGGATTAGTTATGATTGATTCCATGACTTCGCAGGTGACACAACATAATAAGATTGGTCTGTAATTTTCAACTAGGCTGGGGTCACCCTTTTTGAAGAAAGGGATGACCTATTGTGAGCATGCATTTTTATTTACTCTGGTGATTTTCAAAAAAGTTGCTGTTATTGTGATCAAATCCTGTATGAACATCAAGAATTCTAAACATGTAAAAAAGAATTCTATAACTTAAAATTCTATTCTCTTTACTGTCTCTTGAACATTTGTTTATATTTTGTAGTAGAATGCTTTTAATTCAGCTTTGAGTAATTATTTTTAGCACAATATCATTCCACATAGGGATTCATAAAGCAGTTCATATTTAATGTCCTGTAATTTCAGGATTGTAAATACTTTAGCATGTCACAAAGAGATTAAATGCATTTATTTTATAAGTGTTCTTGAGAAATATTAATATATTATGGGTGTCTTTTTTGCAGAGCATTTTATCTGGACAAATCAAATCTTCCTCCTAATTCAACATCAAAAGCTGCTTATATAGATAAGGTAAATCAATAGATGTGATTAAAGTAACATTTACATATGCTGTACAGGTTAGTCCTCACTTGTGACCACAATTGAGCCCAACATTTCTGTTGCTAAGACAGAAGACAGTTGTTAAGTGAATTTTTCCCCATTTTACTACCTTTCTTTCTCTTATTCAATGAATAAGTGTGGTTAAGTTAGTAACACGGGTTGTTAAGTGAATCTGGCTTTCCCATTGACTTTGTTTGTCAGATCATCACAAAAGGTGATCACATGATCTTGGGATACTACAACCATCATAAATACATGCCAGGTGCCAAGTACCCAGATTTTGATCATGTGCAATCATGAATGGGATGCAACAGTCGTAAGTGTGAAAAATGGTCATAGGTCATTTTTTCAGTGCTGTTGTAACTTCGAATAGTCAGTAAATGAATGGATGTAAGTTGAGGTCTACCTGTATTGTGAAGCATATTTGTGCATGCTGTTACATGAACAAAAATGCATTATATTTCACATATATATGAATATAACCTTAAATTGCATGAAATGTCCCTCAGTAATATAATTTAAGTGCTGAATATTGAGAAATTGGAAATTGGATCTAATAGGCTTGTCTTCCAAGCCTATTAGATTTACAACTGCAATTAATTTGTTCGGCATGGTGAGTGACTATGTAAGTTTAAAGATGTCAGATATCACATTTGTTTTCATCTCATGGTGTGAGATTTTCATTCTGTTGAGGACACCATTGTTGGGCTGTGCTTAGCCTTAATCTGATCAGTGTTTTCAGAAAAAAAGTATGTAGTAGTAAAAAAATTACAGTTAATGTCTACTTGTCATATATGTTTATTGAGAGTCACTAGATAGAATAGTATAACTATTCTAGTGCAGTGAAAAGCAATTAAGAAATCATTGAAGTGAAAGATAATGCCTAAGAGATTGCCAAAGAGAATATAAAGAGACATGGTGAACAAAATTAGACCCATATGAGAAAGAACCTTTTCTGTGTGGTTTTGTAAAGTAATGCAATCTCTTCCACAAACCTTTAGCTGATTTTAATCTTACCTGATTTTAATTGTGTTGCATTGATTTCACTTGTATATTTTATCATTTATGTTTTTGCTTGTTATAGGTTTCTGTAGATATTGTACAGTCAGAACTTCAGGACTTAAGTTTAATAAATGGTCATCATTAGGGTTATAAAAAGAATAACAGTTAGGATTTCATCTTTACAGGATGTTCAAGACAGCTGCATTTAAAAAAATTTTGTTGGATCATACCGCATATTCAGTATATTGTCTTTTAATGATAATAGCATTGCATTTTACTTGGCAGCTAATGAGGCCTATCAATTCTTTGGATGAGCTTTACCGATTAATGGCATCGTTCATAAGATCCAAGCGCACAGCAGCCTGTGCTTACACAGCTTGTAGTGCTTCTGGAGTTGGACTACTGTCTGTCTCTTCAGAACTCTGCAGCCGCCTGGGAGCTTGTCACATCGTCTTATGCAACAGTGGAGTTCACCGGTATGGTAATTTATCTTTTCTAAAAATTACTGTTAATTGCTGTCCTGACTCAAGAATAAGAAGATGGGTATGGATATGGATATGGATATCAATAACTATCTTGCAATTATTTATGTTGCTCCAGTTATTAGCAATATAGAACTGCCTCACAGAAAATTGTAAAATAATTCCAATAGTGGAATGCATGAGTGGAATTCTATTGGGCCATCATGATAATATGTAGCATTTTTCACATTCTGTAAAATACATATTTTAAAATGGAATTGACATTCGTCAAAACAAATTGGTTCTACATGCATATCCTAGTATTCTTCTTCAATACATGGTGATATTGCGAAGTTCTCTCAACAGATTGAAGTGTCAGTCTATATATTGCATTAGAGCCTTCAATTCAACTAGAGACATAGTATATAACAAAAATTGCTCTGAAACTGCTTCTAAGTGCTCCCAACCTTATCCTGAAGTTATTCTTTTTCCTTAGCAGAAGATAGTAGACTGTGTTTCTCTAACGTTCATCTGGATTACCTCATTAAACCCAGAGCCAGTAACAATGCAAAATAATAACAATCACACTCCAGAACATTACATTTGCATTTGATGCTATTGTACTGTTCCATCAATATGCCTTTTACCCAAACCTGTTACAGATAGACCTTAATTTACGACCACAAATGAGGCAGGAATTTTGGCTGTACGTTGTTGCACAAAGGAGTTCACCATCTTTTTATGTGGTGAGCTATGTATTTGTGATGGGGAGGCCAAAAAGAAACCTTTGTTTTAAAAAGTCAGAAATGGCTCATTCAGTCATTCAGCTATTTTAACTACAACAAACAGACAAATGTACTCATAAACCTCATAGAGATCTTTATACTAACCATGTGGCTATCTTGACAAGCAAGTAGGGGTATTATGCGACATGGCCCTGAAGCTTGTTTATACCGAATATCTGCCATATCATGTCTTAAGCATGAATAGTAATGCCTATACAGAATCATATTCTTTTCATTTTTCTTTATAGAATATAGATATACAAATGATTGAGCTACTTGTTGCTAGAAATATAAAATAATCTACTGACTTCTTAGCTTATGAAAGGCCCCCAGTTTTCCAGAACAAGTGCCGGGAACATAAGAACCTATCTGTCAATCTTCCTTTAGTGGAGATCTTTTTGAAAATAGAAATAAACTATTTATACAATTACAGTACAATTCTATACTTCGCAAGGATAATAACCTTTTATAGCAAATAAGTTTCTGGATTCACTTTTGGTTCGTAAAACACAATTTGAGCCATCTTTCCAACTGGGCTCTTGCTCTGTATTTTGCTCAGTTTCCAAAAAAGAAAAAGTAATAATGGCTGTATCGGAATTATAACTGTCAATTGCAATTTGTACAATTCATTATTTTATAACAATAAGATTGTTTTTAAACAGCCTAAAACTCCGATTTTTCAGTTTTGATTCTCGTTACCTAGATTTGTTATTATTCTCTATAACACTTAATAACTAGAAGAAAAAATAAAGTGCATACTAGAAATTAAGACAGCAATGAAAGTTTTGTACCCTAGGAGAGATTGTTTTAGTGGAAAAAAATCTGCATTATTAACTATTGCAAGTGTAGATATAAAACAAAATGACAATATTGAAATGGACGTGAAATACTGTAAAGACTGAAATAAAATCTGGAATTCTTGAAATATTCTGTGAATTCTTGAAATTGGGACCATGAAATCTCGGCGTTTTAAAGACCTTATTCTGTCTTTCGATTTCTATATATGCATATATGCCTGCAAATATAATATATGAAGATGGTAAAAATATGAAGATGGTACATATCTCTGAGGGAGTAGGGTTGCTTGGTACTTCTAGAGGCAATATTTAAACTATTTTGTTACATAGGCTATTTCCCTTTGCTTTGTAAAGGGTATCAGCAATAAAGGGAAGGCATCAGAAGAGAACTAAAATTTTAATGGGTAGGTATAATAATAATACAGACTTTTGGAACTCTCTGTATTTTGAATAAAATCCTAATATAATTGACATTATCATAAAAAACTAATTTATTTAAAGATCATTAATAAGTGAAGCAAAGTTAATAGAACGAGTAAATAGTAGAAGGAAAAGCTGGTAGGATATTTATTTAGCAAATGAGAATATAAAATCTAAAATTAATATTCAAAATATTGTTTTTTAAAGTTATTCAGTAAAAAGAATAATTAGTAACAATTGTTTGAAGTGTATATGAGAGATTTATCATATAAGTTGGGAATAGGGGGAAGAAGTGATAAAATATACATCATAATTTTCTGATACAAACTGCCCCTTACATACTTGTGTACTTGTGACATAAGAATGAAGGGGAAGAATGAATCTTGACATTGCTAGACATGTTTTATTATTTTGGCATAATCTTGGCTAACTGCAGATGACTAGGATATTAACTGCTGGTTTGGTTCTCTATACTTTTTTAATTTCAGGGAAGAGAATTAAATATCTAATATCCAACAGCTGAAAAAAAAATAGAGTAAAAATGCATAAGTTTGAGCAATCTCTAATATTGTATCAAAGCAAAAAAGAGTTCTTGTACCACAGTATTTCACTGTAATATATAGTTCTTCCTTTTAAGCCTTACAGCATTATGTGGGGTATGTTTAGATTTACTATCAGACATAAAAATAAACTTGGTCTCTTTTTGGGGCGTATTATCAAGCTAACTTTCTAAGTTAATAATTGAATTTGAAAATTAAAATGTTACAACAGCAGTTTACAGCAGATTATAATGCCATTTTAATTCTTGTCTGACTTATGGTTAATGCATTTACATTAAATATAGCCTTAAAAATACCAACATTGAATGTGTTTGTAAGCCACCTGGGGCCACCTATGTGTGAATTATAAATTTGTTTAATATATAAAATAAATACTTTAATTGATTTCTCTGATTTCGGTTTAGTTGCACTCTGAGCATCACTTTAGAGCAAGCAATAATTCTTGCTCGGAGTCATGGTCTACCTCCTCGCTATATCCTCCAAGCTACAGATGTGATGCGCAAGCAAGTAAGTTATACCTCTTTTTAGTGGCCTTTTTTCAAGGTTATATATACACAACTTGAATAGATACAACTCTTTTAATGTATTTATCTTCATAGGACCACAGTTCTAGCCATCAGCTTGAGCTTATTGCCCTTCTTTGATCTCTTGCAATTTCCCTGAGCCTAGATTCCTATTTTGGGAATTATTTTCTGCCTAAAATTGCATTTGCCTTTTTTTTTTTTTTTGCAACCACATGGGTCATATTCAGTTTGAAATCAATTATTATTCTAGCATCTTTCTTTTAAGTGCCATTACCAAGCCAAGGATCCCATATATTATGTCTGTAACAACCTGCAATTTTTGGTTAAATTTTTTCTTTAGTCTCAATTCATTACTCTGGCCTAGCGAGATCATTTAAAATTTTTATGTTAGTCTTCTTAAGATATTCAAATTAGATGTTTTAATGATTTATAAGTATTTTAATGGTTTTACTGTTTTTATTGTTTTAAAATGTTTTAAAGATTTTAATTGCAATATGTTTCTGAATTGTGAACTGCCCAGAATCTTTTGCTGAAATGGGCAGCTATAGAAAACAAACAACAAACAAGCTATCTCAGCAATTTTGCATTATCTGTAGATTTGTTCCACATTTCTTCTACTTGTTAATACTAGTCATCAATAAAATATGGAACATTCCAAGACTCAGTACTGAATCCTGTGGCCTCATTTCAGTTTGATGAGGAACCATTGATTAGTGCTATTTGAACACGATTTTCAAGCCAGCAATGTGCTCACTGAATTAGCATGATGTCCAGCCCACATTTGTCAAGTATGTTGTTAAAAATATGTAGCACTTGGATTGAAAACTAAGAAAGCGCTATGGAGTTGCATGCATACTATACCTGTCAATATTTCCTTAAAGAACTGGTAGGTTCAATAACAGAAAATTACATGAATTAGAGAAGTACCAACAGCGTGAAACAAGATGTTTTGGAATGGCATGGGTACAGTGTTGACACCTTATTAACTCAAATGCATAATTGTGCAGCTATTTATACAAGCCCCAAAAAAGATGAGGTTTCTTTAAAGAGGCACTTAGAGTTTGAGAAGGACAAGAACATCAGCATTTTTATGCATATATTTCTGATATACAAGTAAAAATAATTATTTATATAGTCTTCCTTTTTCATTTTTGAAGGTTAGTTTGGTAATTACAAATAGCAAATGCTTAAAAAAACTATGGGAAGCACAACTATTTTTCATTTTTACAGGGAGCAAGAGTTCAAAATACTGCAAAGAATTTAGGAATTAGGGACCGAACACCACCAACTGCTCCAAGGTAACTTAACAGTTCAATCTATTTCTTTTTCCTGAAATAATTTTAAAATTTTTTGCCAGATATATTTCCTGGATTTGAAATAATATTTAAACACAGATTTTTTTTTTCCTTTTTAGAATCCGTTTTTAATGTAATTATTTTTACTTACCAATTGGTTTCTCAGCAGGAACACCATCAAGTTTAAAAAATGTAGTAATACTAGACAAAAGTGACAATTTGTGTTCTGAATTATTTTTTTTACAAAGAGTTCATTAAAACTAGTACATGAAGAACTCTTGGTACCAAAAATATTACAGTACAAATATTACATCTTGCTCATAACACAGAATGGTGCTTAGCTACATCCTGTCAGTGATGTCAGTGAGATGTCAGTGAAACTTTGAAATAATTACTCATATTAAAGTTGTATTTTAAAGCCCCCAATATTTCTGTAGTTTAAATTTCTAAAGTACTGGTAGAAAATAAATGCTAAATGTTGGTTATGCCTTCGTCCCAAAATACAGTGATCCCTTCCATTTAATTAGTGGTAGAACTGGGAAAAACAGAAGACTCTTTGCATCCCTCTCTACTTGCTATTATGAGATGCCATTGGACATATATAAATACAGGAATAACATGTTGATGCATAGGGGGTGGGTGGGAAGAGCTAGTATCTACAATTATTCTCTGATCAATTGCTGAAGAATTCTCTTGCTGAGGATCGCTTCAGATGGTGACAGATCTAATTGGGGATGAACATGAGCCTCCTTCTAATCCTGTGACACTATTGCAAGTCCCAAAAATAAAATTGCAATTTCTCACTATCCCACAAAACATGTTTTCAAATAATGAGAATTACAAGCTGAAGCTGCCAAATTTTGCTATGTTGCCTGGGGCTGAATTGTGTGAATTTGAAGGGAATGTCTGGCTTTTATTATCTTCCACTATAATGGCGGGACTGTTTAAAGGGCCTGACACACATGTCGTCCTCGTTTAGCAACCATAATTGGAACTGATAACTAGGTCACTAAGTGGAAAAATCACATAATTGTGACTGTGCTTATGATTTTACTTCAGCATTACTTTTTTCCCCACATCCTCCCCAGTGGAATGCTCATCCCAGTGCTGGGTTAATTAACAAGAAGGAAATTAATGCTTATATTAATTGGAGAGGAAGGGATTATAAAAGAGTAAGCAGGCAATAATGGGAAATGCATCAAAAGAAATGTGCTGAGTCTGGCTGTTTGTCTACCACTCTTAGGGCTGGAAACTGTGATCACGCTAGGCAAATAGCCAGAATGTTCTCCATTGGGTGCCTGCTTATTCTCATATAAATTCTTCTTTTCCAATCTCTTCACTGCAAGGGGAAAAAAGGGCGGGGGAAAACAGGTCAGGCACAAAAACACGTGCTGACTTTAATGACTGAGAAAGAAAAAGATGCTGCAAAGGTCATAAATACTAAGGTCATCAGCCGAGAGCTCAGGGCAGGGGCGGGGGGGTGGCGGTCATTCTAAGAGAAGGTCTTGATCCGAGGGAGACCACTGTACCTCAGATAGCCGGATGTGAGTCCCTTTTTGTGAAGTGGGGTCGTGGGGTGCAGATGGGTTTGTTGATCACGTACCTGGCTCCCTGCCACGTGGCAACGACCCTGCCCGAACTTCTCAATGTTATAGCCAAGGTGGCGGCTGACACCCCCAGACTTGTGGTCATGGGGGATTTCAATCTGCCATCTATCGGTGAAACATCTGAGGTAGCTCGGGAGTTCATGGCTTCCATGACGGCCATGGACCTGACCCAAGTAATTCACGGCCCTACTCACATGGGGGGACACACTCTGGACTTAGTTTTTATCTCTGGTCAGTGGTTGAGTGGCCTTGATATAGGGGATATAGATATTGAACCCTTGTCATGGTCTGACCACTCACTCCTTCGACTTGACTTTCTGACCGCCGCACCCCGTCGCAGGGAGGCGGAGCCGACCAGGTGGTTCCGCCCCAGGCGCCTGATGGATCCTGATAGGTTCCAGATGGAGCTTGGGCCATTTCCTGAGACTCTAGCTCATGACTCGGCTGATGACCTGGTGGCCGCCTGGGATAGTGCGGCTGCCGGGGCTTTGGACCAGGTCATGCCTTTGCGGCCTCTGACTCGGCACCGAACTCACTTAGCTCCTTGGTTCTCCGAGGAGCTGAGGGAGATGAAGCGCCAGAAAAGATGCCTAGAGAGCGGTTGGAGGGCCAGTCGTTCCGAATCTGACTTGACACTGGTAAGGTCTCATATTAAGACCTACCTAGTGGCGATAAAAGCGGCGAAATCTAGCTATTTTGCCACTCTTATCGTGTCATCAGATAACCGCCCAGCCACCCTGTTCAGGGTGACCCGCTCCCTTCTCCATCTGGGAGCGCAGGAGGACCCCTTGCAGGCCCAAGCTGAGGATTTTGTACAGTATCTGTATGATAAAATAACTCAGATTCGGGAAGACTTGGCCGCTGACTGGGTTAGTTCAGACGAGATGACTGAGGCAGGCCTTGAGAGTGTTATCTGGGAGGAGTTCGATCCTGTGGCTCCCGAGGACGTGGACAGGATCTTGGGATGGCTGAACACGACCACATGTTTATTGGACCCGTGTCCCTCCTGGTTGGTGCTGGCTTCCTGGGAGGTTACACGAGGCTGGCTCAACGCTTCTTTGAGCGAGGGTGTCCTGCCGGCCACCTTGAAAGAGGCGGTGGTGAGGCCTCTCCTCAAGAAGCCATCCCTGGATCCGGCTCTTTTGGCTAACTATCGTCCAGTCTCCAGCCTTCGTTTTATTGCAAAGGTTGTTGAGAGTGTGGTGGCGCGACAGCTTCCCCAGGACCTGGATAAAGCTGTCTATTTGGATCCGCTCCAGTCCGGCTTCAGACCTGGGTACAGCACGGAAACGGCATTGGTCGCGTTGGTGGATGATCTCTGGAGGGCCCGGGATAGGGGTTATTCCTCTATCCTGGTCCTATTAGACCTCTCGGCGGCTTTTGATACCATTGACCATGGTATCATGTTGCGCCGGCTGGAGGAACTGGGAGTGGGGGGCACTGTTTTGCGGTGGTTCTCCTATCCGACCGGTCGCAATCCGTGTTGACGGTGGCAGCGGTCGACCCCAAGGCGCCTTGTTTGTAGGGTGCAACAAGGGTCGGTGCACTCGCCCCTCCTGTTCAACATTTATGTGAAGCCGCTGGGTGAGATCATCCGTGGTTTTGGGGTGGAGTTCCATCAGTACGCTGATGATACTCAGCTGTACATTTCCACCCCAGACCATCCCAACCATGCCTTGAAGTGATGTCCCAGTGCCTGGAGGCCGTGCGGGTCTGGATGGGGAGAAACAGGCTTCGACTCAACCCTTCCAAGACCGAGTGGCTGTGGCTGCCGGCGTCCCGGTATAGCCAGCTGATGCCATCGCTGGTTATTGGGGGCGAATCATTGGCCCCCACGGAAGGGGCCCACAACTTGGGTGTCCTCCTGGACGCATGGCTGTCTTTAGAAGGGCATATGATGGCCGTGGCCAGGGGGGCTTTTTACCAGGTTCGCCTGATATGCCAGTTGCGCCCCTTTCTGGACAGGGACTCCCTACGCACGGTCACTCAAACACTCGTCACCTCTCGTCTGGACTATTGTAACGCTCTCTACATGGGGCTCCCCTTGGGGTACACCTGGAGGCTCCAACTGGTGCAGAATGCGGTCGCGCGGGGGATTATGGGAGCGACGGGGCGCTCCCATGTGACTCCTCTCCTGCGCGAGCTGCATTGGCTTCCGGTGGACTTCCGGGTGTGCTTCAAGGTGTTGGTGATCATCTTTAAAGCGCTCCATGGCTTAGGGCCAGGGTACTTACGGGACCACCTTCTGCCACCAATAGCCTCCCACCGGCCAGTTCGCTCCCACAGAGAGGGCCTCCTCAGGGTGCCGTCGGCCAGACAATGCCGGCTGGCGACCCCCAGGAGGAGAGCCTTCTCTGTGGTGGCACCTACCCTTTGGAACAATCTACCCCCAGAGATACGAGTGATCTCCAACCTCCGGACTTTTTGTCGGGCCCTAAAAACTTATTTTTTTCAGTTAGCCGGTCTGTCTTGATTTTATGGTTGGTTTTAAAATTTGATACGGATTTTAAATTGATAAGTTTTAAATTACAGGCCAAATTTATTTAATTATTTTAAATCTATTTTTTAACTGTAACTTTATGTATAAATGTTTTTATTTTGGCTATTCACCGCCCTGAGTCCGAAAGGAGAAGGGCGGTATAGAAGTTTGAATAATAAATAAAATAAATAAATAAATAAATACGTGCTTTGGTCACAAAGTTATTTTTTTTAGCATTGTAAGTCTAAACAGTCATTGCATGAGGCAGTCAGTGAAGTCTACCTGGAGACCTGATACTGACATTATGATGAGCACTCAAGCTATCAGCATCAGCTATTTTGTTCTTCTTTGTGCTTTGGTATTAATCAAAGAAGGACAAGGCACTTTTTACTGACAAGACAATGAACATTGATTTGGCTATAACCCAGGAAAAGAAAACTCTTTATGACCAATGTCTACAAGCATTGTAAGCTTGTAAACAAGTCAATATATTTGGTTTTACAGCAATCTGATATCCTAAAACATTTAGAAATAGGCAGCCTGGTCAATCCCTTTTAATCAAAAGACTTTGGCAATAATCAGGTTTATGGGAATGCTCTGAATATTGGTAGCATGAGAACTTGAAAGGGAGAATCATAATGCCCTCATGAGTCCTTGAATCTCAGACGAACACAATGCTGAATTGGGTAGACTTTGGATCTTATTTAATAGTACGACATTTCATATATCCTTTATTTAGAATATGTTTAATATCATAGTTATTTCATAAGTGTTTAATTTTATATTTCATGCAAAGGGTTTTAGTGCTAGATTTTATTGCTGCGTCTTTATCAATCTATAAAATTGTCCAAGAATGTATTGTTTGATTTTTTTAAAAAAAAGTATTATTGGTTTAGATTGCTGAGAATTTATTTTCATGCAGTGATGAATTAACATATATAAAATGGACAAGTCCTAAAGACTGAACTATACTCTTATCCCACAGAGATCATTACAATCAACTTTGCTTACAGACTGCCCTTCTCTATCTAGATTTAAATGTAATAAGTTTATTGAAAAATAATTGATTTCTATTTGTATAGACATAAGTTAGAGTCTTAATTATAATAAGACTTAATGGAACAAAGTTTATCTTTGAAATATCTGCTTAGTGAATTATTTAGTCATCTTAATGTATATTAAATTTATTTTACTTGCTGAGCAACAGAAGAAGCATGCGTTTTATGCTAATTATTTTGTAGTAAATTATATTCATGGAAGAATCAGACATTTGCCTGTGCCTTTTTATATAGAGACTTATGTGCTTCATTTATTGCTTTGGATTTGAAGCAAATTTATAGTGACTAGAGTTGATTCAATTTCCCTATATTTAACTGTTCTTTCCTTGTTGAAAAGGTTCTGTGGTACAAAATCCACTACATCTATCCATCTGAAACATTTTTTCTAGGTTTTATGTTTAACAAAAATTAAACAGAAAAGAGTTGATTTTCAGTGATGTTAACTGCATATATGGAGACTTCCCATTTCCAAAGCAAAATTCATATTTCGCCTCAGTCAATCAGAGAGATAACCTTTAAGATAAATAGGCTCCCCCCCAATCTTGAATTTAGAACATATAGTTTAAGATAAGATCCAATTCGGTCGATCACTGGGAACACAGGTTTAGTCTTCCAAGCTTTTGGACTCATGCTGACGCTCATTCTCAGGGAAATTTTTTAGAAAACTTTTTGTTTAGTTCTCAGGGAATTTTATTTATTTTTAATAAATTTTTATTCAAACCTCTGATCCTGGTGACTGAGCCAGATTGAATTTTGCAACATTATCCTAGAACACATAAATTTGCTTTCATTTGTGAGTTCTAAGACATTGTCTTTTAAAAAGGAATAAGTGAGATATTACTTGCTTCAATGATCCCAAGAACACATGGGTAACTCCATATCGGTCAGGTGCAAAAGTTCAGGACCACACATGAAATTCCAAATAAACTGATTTATTGATCATACCTATGCATAGGAATCTACTCAGTAACCCATTAGCACTATTTTGTGCTAGATAAGGATTAATGGAATTCAAGGGAGGGAGGAATGGACTCCCTTGTGTAGCCTTTTGTGGCTACATAAATTTCTACCGATTCCTCTTTTGACTGGCCCCAGATTCTGTCATTCCTTCTCCTACAATATTCTTCTTAGAAATGTTCTAAAACTTAAATATATTGTGATATTTTGATATTACAATATTAACAAAGGTTAGACTAGCTTATCATTTGTTGTTGTCGTGACTGGAACTTAAAGAAAGGGGGGAAATTTAAATTGCTCTCTGTAGAAGTGGTGGCTATTGGGGAAGTTGTACAACTCCTGCCACAGGCTTGGACTTGGAAGTGAAACACAAACACATTTCCTTTTTGTTAAAATAAATGATGTGCATTTTACTAAGAGACAGACAGTATCTAATATAACTGTAGTTACATCAATGCAAAAATATTTTCTTACAAAAAATTCTTACAAAAATTAATTATGCATTCTTTAAAAATAGTAATTTTATTCTGGTTTACAATCTGTATTTTGCTTCAGACTCAACCGATGTATAGTTAATGGAAAAAAGCACATAGTGCTTAAAAATATTTGAACATTTTTCATGTCATAGCAGCTATTATAATTGTTCTTTCTGTTGACAGATTGTACAAACTATGTCAGCCACCCCCACCTGTTGGAGAAGAGTAAAGATTCTTATCTGAAGATTAATCAATATACCAGTTTCCACAAACAGAAGGATAATAGTCTTTTGAGTATGGATACAGAGCCTTTTCTTCTTAAACGTGACTATGTAAATAAAGAGTAATGACTTCTGCTGGGAAAAATACCTGGATTTACTGTGCATGTTCTGTGAATGTATTTCTTGGGCTGTTTTTAAATGCTTGATTCAGCAATACCAAGTGTTCAACAAAGTATGGGCAGGAACATGAAAACAAAAGAGAAAGATTGGAAAAATCACTATATCATACTATTTCAAAAAGCGACATCTTCATCCATAGGATGATTTATTAAATTAATGCTCTGATGAAATAGATATTCTATATTGAAATGCTTTCCTAATGCATATCTCAACTAGTCATAGAAACTCTACTGCTTGCTTTAGCAACAGTAAATTTTAATGTAAGAAATCCAATTTGTTCCAATTGAGGTGAGGGACTGAAACAACAGATGGAACTGATGAATCAAAATTATATTCAGTACTCTAATTCATAGGTTGTTCAATGGTTTTTGACAGGAATGTTTCCTGTAATAGCAAAGTTTTGATCATGGTGAGCGTTTGTAGAAAATTCAAATGAGATATTCAATCTTACTCATTTTTCTACCTCAGTTGTTTCTGTGAAATCACAAACATTGACTAAGAAAAAAAATCCAGTTAACAAATTTGTTTTAACTCAAAATTATCTTTCATCAAACTGAAAAATGAATGTTTTATTAAGGTCTTAAAATTAAGGCATATTTTAAAAAATAACACATTTGTAGCTATTTTCCATTCTTCCCCCAACACTCAAGACTTGATTTGCAGGGACCATATCAGTGGTGGGTTGCTATTGGTTCTCCCCAGTTCGGGTGAGCTGGTAGCGGAGATGGTGAGGTGAGAGCAACCGGTTTGCTCCATCAGTTGGGCCCTCCCGACCACCCCTGCGCTATACCTACCTATATTCATTCATTTTTAGCCCAGCTGCTAGGCGCGGTAGAGTGGATTGCTGCGCCTCAGCTGTTCTGAAATTCAATGCGTTTGCACGAAGCGAACTGGTGGTAACATTGGTTGAAACCCATCACTGGACCATGTATACAGTTTGCATTAGCTTTACATTGTTGCGTGAATCTACTGTGATTAAAAAGAAAAGCCTTAAGCCCTTTTTATAACTTGTTGTAGCTACCCTATCTTAACAACAGTCTAGTTTATCCAGTTCTAAACTAATGGCTGAGCTAGAATCTAATAGCCATTAGTTCTCTAGTCTATTAGGATTAACTTCAAAATTTAAAAAACAGGTTTTGTTTTAAAAACCCATGGAGTAAGGGAAATTAGCATTCCCATTCCACATGCAGGCCTTGAAATCCAATGAGTACACAACTGGGGTTTTTTTCCAGATAATTTTTACATAAATGAAAAACTATACAAAAGGGGAAAATCTATCAAAAATTAGTTACCTTTGTTTCTGTTGTCTGGGTTTCATTGAGTTATATGAATTTACACTTAATTAACATTAAGCCACATTGTGATAATTGTCTAAATGTGTTACAGTATGTTTGAAGCTATAATTATCTAAATGTGTTACAGTGTTTCAAGCAATAGATATTGTAACAATGCTGCAAAAAATATCTGTATCCCATAAAAACAGATTTTGCTGGCAAGAAGGGTCTAGATTGAAAGTGCAATTGTATATATTTCCAAAATAAATAAAGTTCCCCTGAATTCAATGAGTCCCAAGTAATAGGTAAAGGATTCCAGGAGAAATTGTTGGGTATTTTATATTAATCCATATTAAATGCTTATGCTGACTCTATAAACTGCTTAGAGAGGGCTGTAAAGCACTGTGAAGCAGTATATAAGTCTAAATGCTATTGCTATTGCTATTATTAGGTTATATCCATTAGGAATAGAAGAGAATAAATACAAATAACATGAATTCTGGTATTTACTCAGTGAAGTGGTCAGGCACCACTTTTTAATTAGGAAAAAAACCCAGTGGAATTATAACATTTCTGTTATAATACAGAGTTTTTACCTGACAAAAACCCAATATAATTCTACATTGTTAGTTCATGCTGTTGCACTGATTTCCTATAATGATTTTTAACTCAATCAACAACAAAATGCTCTTCCAAGAACTTGAAAGTAAGAATTAATAATTATTTCTTCCTATTCCTGCATTTTCTTGAATGACAAGAAGGCAAATGGCAAAGTTTTAATATATATGTGCATTTTGGATAAAAGAAAATTACCACAACATGCAAATGCTGGTCCTGCAACAATATAATCAAGTAGTCGTAATATTCTTTCACTCTAAGGAAACAGTGCAGTATTTTCTATTCAAAAGCGAATGCATTACATAAAGCTTCTTTAAAAATCTGAATTTTGTTGATATTTAAATGTGTACATTTGCAGCATTTAAATTCTGTAACAGAATATATCAGCCCCTGAAATGTAAAAGAGAGTTTCCACTTTGACTGGACAAGCCAACAGAAAGGATCTATCCTTCTGTCAAAAATATCTCCCTATGCAGCAGCAGCATTTCCCCCCGACATTAGTAACTTCTGGTTCAGGAAGTAGCACTGTATTTGTAGCCTTTGGAGTCTCTTTAGAAATGTGTTGTTAATTTAAATTTCTAGTCTTTCAAAATGGAAATGTTTTGGTTTGATGGTAAAAGAAAAGCTAAGGATGATCTACTGGTAGTATGGTAGAATAAGCCTTAGTCATGAAAGCTTGATAAACTTTACATGTCTTTAATTGGTATATTTGGTTCCTATTCAACCCCAGTCCTGATTAGTTCTAGGTTATTTGGGTAGATTGAGTTGCATACTTCATTTATTCTTTTAGAAGTTGCAGCATCAGCATTTGAGGACTCCTGTTCTAAAATGTTAAATGTATTTCGAATGGCCATTGGAAAAATCACATTTCTCAGATGTGATAGAAAGAACCATTTTCAGGTTAGAAGTATTTTAGGTAGAAGTATTGTATTTTTCATACAATTGAAATCCTGCCTTTTAACCAGATTAAAAAAAACCTTGCCCTATAGTTCAATAGAACAATTATTATATTCTAAAGTTTAGTTTAGTTTAGTTTAGTTTAGTTTAGTTTAGTTTAATGCGATTTATATGCCGCCCTATCTCCTAAAGTGCCTAGAAATATTTCTATCTTTAACCAACATCTTGCTGGCTATTGGCTATGGCCGTATTGTTACTGTTATAGTAGACTGTATTTCTATAACTCGTGCAGATATCCTCCTTATTTAAAAATACCACAGCAATATTATTTAATCTGTAGCATGTATATAGTGTAAGAAATCAAGTAATGCTTATGCCATTTGTCATAAAAAAACCCTTTTTGTTTAGCAGTGCTAGGTTATGCAGAAGAATATATTTTTTTAATTACTTAAACAGAAGTCTAGAACACTGCTGTTTTTGCAAAAGAAAAATAGAACATGAAACATTTTACAATATATATTAATAGCTTCTCTGATATCTTCGTTACAGTATTATGTATTTCAACTTTTGTTTCATAACATTGATAAATAAAAATAAAACCTCTTTATGGGTGGTTTTTGTTTTGGATTATATTAGAATGATAGAGGCTTGTAAATGGTATTGAAAGGGTATGGATATGTGGGTTCCCCAAGCTTTCCAAGAGCCAAACAAGCATGGGAACAGGAAAAAAATAACCATTTTTTAATTAGTTCAACATTGATTGGGACTCTTGTGAGGTCCTTGGGTGACTTGAGGAGGAGGAGTTGACTGTCTCCTAGTAATTGGAGATGGCAAGGGAGCCCTCTGGAAAGACACCGGCAGTTATGGAGCAAGGCCACTGTTTCGATGTGCCAGTCAGCTGTTGGCAGTGCAGTGATGAAAATGGAGTTGCCAATGCTAGAGAAAGTTGGTGGCATGTTTTGTTAGTGGAGGTGGCCATGCAAGAGCACCAATGGCCACAGAAGATCATATAAGAGCAGTTCTCTTTTGCTGAGATTATAGCTCTGACAGCAGTGGGAGCACAAGCAGCCCAGCAGTGATATTTCTGCACTGGCTTGGGTCACGTGAATCTTGCATTAGCCAGTAACCGTCTTGTCTCTGACATGCAGCACCTAGACTTGGAAAGAACAACTATTGATATTTGGAGCTGCTGACCCACTACTATGGACTTTCCATCTTTTCCTGGTGGACTGTGTGTTAGGAATGTGGACTTTTTTTCACCAAAGAGTTGGCTTTGAATTATAGCAGATGCTCTTTGCCTACCAGGGGTCTCCTTGACAGATAACAAACGAGAACGGAGATGGATAACTGAGACCAGATGGCTCTCTTTTCTAAGTGTGAATGGTATGGTGTGAAATGATGTGGATACAATAAAAAAAATGCTGTTTGTTGGTATTATTTAAAAGGAACTCATTAATGTGAAAAATAATATGGAGGTCATTTCAATATTTTATCTATCAAAAGCATTCTGGTGTAATTGTACTTGAAATATTCCTTTTATCTTTCCGTGGTATTAAAAGCCAAACATATATTATTTGTAGAGTTGTTTCATTTTGGGCTTGCTCTTTTACAGTCCGTTGGCAAAAAGCCCAGTGATCACTGTAGTGCATTCAAATAAAAATATTGGTTGCATTTATCTCCATCCACTGGTTTCTTATTAAAGAGAGCATTGTTCTCACAATATACTACATTAAAAAATTGGGTAATTATGTATATAACTGATTTACATAGGTGAAATTGTAAATGAAATCCAAGCAATCACAACTGATCTAGTTAGACGACCTGTATTTTTTTATTACAATTGAAATACAATCACCGTTTTGATATTAGTGAATCTGTGCTGACTGACACAAATCCAAATGCTTTGCAGTTTAAAACTATACAGCCCAGGCCAAAGCAGGGTCCTGATGGAGGAAGAAAGAGGTGTGGGGATGCTGCAGTATCCCCATGGTCATTTGTATGGGCAAATGACTGCAGGGTGACTACAGCCATTATAACTTTGAAACAGTGTTGTAAGTAATTTGGGCAGTCTGTTTGAACAGTTGTTAAGTGACCTGTCATAAATAAAATCCACAACATATCTCTCATTTTTTACAACAATTTCAACGAGTAAAACTATTATAGTATAGTCAATTTTTAATTGACAAGTTAAACCCAGGTCACATGGAATTATATTATCTATTCTTATCTGTCAGCTAATATATAGCTGTTCCAGAGGCTGAGAGTTTATAACTTTCAATAAGCCAATTCAGTCAGCCATGTATGTATCCTTCTAAGTATATATAGTCACCTTTTTTGCACAGTCAGCACATATTATATACAAAGTTCTTCCTAAACAGACGAACTCCAAATTTGGGGAATCTAATTAATTACACTTTAATATCCTTAAATTTTAACTTCATTGGTATCCGCTGGTGGCAATCATGTGTCAGATTGGCAATATGACAGATATGTGCTGCAGCCATCATATCTTTTCTAACCTTTGCACACACACTTCTGTTTGATTTCCTCCCTAGTTCACTATAAGAAAAATAAAGGTAAAGGTTAATATTCCCCCCCCTGTCCAGTCGTGTCCGACTCTAGGGCATGGTGCTCATCTCCATTTCTTGGCCAAGGGAGCCAGCATTGTCTGAAGACATTTTCCATGGTCATGTGGCCAGCATGGCTATACATGAAAGAAACAGAATGCTGTTACTTTCCCACCAAAGTGGTATCTATTAATCTTCTTGCATTTACATATTGCTAGGTGGTGAGGAGGTGGGGCAGGAATGGGAGCTCACTCCGTTGTACAACATTCAGGTCTCAAACTCCGCGTCTTTAACCACTGAGCTATTGTGGCTCTCATAGCAGAACTATCTAACAAAAAATGAACTACCAGTGGCCAAGCCTTAAACCTTTGTGTTAATTTTTCCTAAAATCTATTACATCTTCATCATAGAAAAGACAACCCCTTGGAGGAATCCAAGGGCAGAACTATTCTGGCAAATCAGTGCCTTAGCTGTGCACAACATTTGAAGGGGCACTTTGCAACGGGAATTGATATTAAAAGTCCTTGAAACACTGAGGCTACTAAGCCTTCCAAAAGTTTGGTTAGGTTGCTTCAAAGGCCGTTCTTGATCGTTTTTGCAGTGAATCCATGCAGCCACTTCAGTTTACTGGCATTCTCGCAGGAAGCTGTTTGTGGCTGCACATAAAAATCAATCTGGAAAACCAATCAAAGTAGCTTTGCTAAGCCTTCCAAAGGTTGAGTCTGTGTCAGTGCTCTGAGGAATCAATGCTGTGCATAACTCTAGTATTTTCTAACTAGCTATATATCCCTCAGGGCAGCTGTACTATAAATAAAGGAACGTTTATCCAAAGAGCCCATGATACACTCTCAACATTTCATATATATCTATCAATCCCAAAGTGTTTGGGATTGCTTTCACCTAATTGACAAAAACAACTTATATGACTGTTAAATGATAACACTTTTTGATATTGTCACACCAGAATATGAAACATTTTGAAAAAAAGAAAATGGTAAAAAGATAATTGTATCACAATACCCATTTCCCCCACAGAGTTGGAATTCATGAAGAACAAAATATAGGAATCTCACAGCTTGTATGTCCCAATAAATGGATGTATAAATAACAGCTTCCAAACACCTACAGCAGAACAGATCCATTATTTTCCCTACAGACTAAAAGTAAACATTTTCACCACCACAGGACAAAGTACAAGTAATTGATCTCACATTGTGCTAAGTTTGTGGTTTCTTTAACTATATTTTGTTAAAGAAACACTAAGCCATAAAATGTGCTTGATATACTTTAATGGCTAGATTCCCACAACATTCTAAACTAAAACCGAATGAACCATGTTATGGCTTACCTCGATATATAAACCTAGCCAGTGATACTGACCACACTGAACCAAAATGTAGTTTTATTGTTTTAGCTTTGGAAAATCCATCAATATTACTTAAGTATCATATTCAAACCAGGCCATTAAAGCTTGTCCAACAATTAAAAAAAAAACTGGTTCACACATTATATTAATGGTTGTACAATCTTGGCTTTACAGTATTTATTTTGCGTCAGTATTGATATACTGTTATAAGGATTCTTTTGATGCGATTTTTGAATTCTGCTGATAAATTACTTGTTTTCTCCTTATTCAACCTCTGTGTTACTTGTGTATTAATTTCCTTGGAAGCCTGGGCTGGGCAGTCGTATAAATTTTCAAATAAATGAAGTTATCCTTGTATAGGGAAAAAAAAAAAGGCATACAATTCTTATTCCTAAACAAAGCTAGAGACGTCAGTGGGGTTTAATCTCAAAATAATCGAAGGTTTCACTACAGTAACAGTTACGGGACAGTTCTGAGGTGCCACTTGGACGGGAGGTGCGTATTTACCACCGATACTAGCACCCGAGGAAAAAAGAAACGTAACTCCAAATGGGGTTAACGGATCCCATCCTTCCCTTAATAAAACCCTCTTTGCTATTCGAAAGGGTGATTCTCCCCCTCCTCCGTCACGGTTGCCTCTCAAGTATAGAGCAGCAGCTGGGCGAGAGCTGAAAGAAATAAGGGAAAGAATTACAAACCACGTGAGAGAGGCCGTGTATTCGCCGAAGCTGGGCGGGAACGGGCGCTGTTTCCAGCCTCTGCCAAGTCCTTAGCGCACCCGCCGCTTCAGCGCGCATTTCAAGCTCAGCCGGCAACGACTTCGGCCACTGCGGTGCGCTCCCGAGGCTTCCTCCAGCCCGCTCCCTTGACCCGAGAGAGGACCGCGGGGCGTCGTCGCAGTCCGAGAGCGAAGCAGCTCCCCCTCCTGGCTCCGCTCGGGAAGAGCAGCGCCGTTGCTATTGGCTTTGCGAGAGGCGCTGTCGCTAGGGCGGCAGCTTGGCGAGGTGGCTTCAAGCGGAGCCGGGGCTGCGCGCCCTGTAACCAAGGAACCGGCCGCCTGCATAGGCGACGCACGGCTCTTCCCGCCGCGTCCTCCTCCCTGCGCACCAGCCCGCGCCTTTCCCAGCTCCAACCTTCACCGAGGAGGGAGAGAGATGGCAGGGTTTCCTTGCCTCCTGGCTCGAGCTCGGCTCTAACAGGGGACCGGGAGTCCAGGTAGTTCAGGACCGGTGCCGCTGGTCGGACCTCGGGCTTTTTCTTACCATAGTCCCCGCCCTGCCCTGCTGCTCCTAGCCTGCTCGTTCTGTGGAGCGAGCTGGGAAAAGGATAGTAGCAGGAGTCGCCGGAGAAGCAGCACGCGAACACCAGCCTCCGTTCCTCGGCGAGCTGATGGCGTCTCGTCAGCAAAACAGAATTCAAGCCTACCTGGAAAGGAACAAGATCGGGCCCCTGTTCGAGGTAAGAGCCCCTCCGAGCCACCGGCTTGCTGGGTTTTGGTACCGAGGTGGCAGCGCTCGGATCTTCCTGGCGCGAGCGGCTGGCCGGCCAAGTGCGCGCCGGGTCATACCAAGTTACTTCGAGTTTGCTTTAATTGAGATTGCAATTGCTGCTGGAAGCAAGCGGTGCGGGAGTGTTTACCTACTGCTGAGTGATTCAAGTCCTTGGTCGGCTATTAGCGATCAGGTAAATAATTTTTTCTCCCTGACGGTCGGACCCTCACCTGGTCTTCCAAAGGTGCCCCCATTGCCAGCGCAACTGAATCCCTCCTCCACATTGCTGCTGCTCGTTCTTCTGTGCCGATTGCGGGCCAGCGTGCTTTACCTAAAGAATTGGCGAGGCATATGCGCGCACACGCCTCCTTTTTTTTCCTCCCTCTCTCTCTCTCCCTCTGACACACATTCTTTTTCTGTGTGCTGCTTCTTTCCCTTTCCACTCGAATCGGTTCTGTGACATGGTCTCGCAGTCAAAAACAGTACAGAAGGGAGGTAGTAATATTTCTACCACCTACCGATAATTCGGTTTTCCCTGTCATACGGAGTTCCTAGGGAAGGCGGTACAGCTTCTGATCTTTTCACTTTTATGACTCTTTTGGTGAGAAAGTCTTGGTATCTCCAGACAAAGAAGCTTCTCCCACAAGGAATCCAGCAATAGTATTGCAAGCTTCCTCTGGCGGAGAGACACATAAGTCTAACTTAACTTTTAGTGTTATTCTTTATTTAAATGTCTTTTGTATATCCTATCCCCTTTTCTTTGATGCATGTGCTTTGTGACTCCAGTTTCTGGAGTGGCAGATGCCTTTTTCCCAGTGCACAGACATTATTAAATAGCTCAGATTGGTCAAATTATTTGGGCAGTTTAGGCAGAAAATCTCCAAAGTGCAGTTCTGTACAATTGATAATAATGAATAACATTACTAACAATCTGCCCAGGCATTTTAGGAATGCCTGAAGCAGCAGTGGTAAGGCTGATTTTCTAGTTTTGTATTTATTTTTTATGGTTTATTGATTTTTATAGTAATATTTTTTATTCTTGTGAGCTGTCCACAGTCACCGAGAGGCAGAATACAAATTTAATAAAGTATTAGTATGATAGTTTATTCCACAGTCAGCCAGATAGTTAGAATGGACTTGGCATTTTTATCCACCTATCAAGCCCTTCCCAGGTATAGGGATAGCCAGATGTTTTTTGGGGGCGTTAAAGGTATCTTCACAGGATATGTCTGATGGTGATTTTTGCCAATACCAGGGGTGTTCAGGTATGCACCAGATGTTTCGGGATTATGCCCAAGGTACTTAACACAGTTGGTACTCTCTGGCTTCTTTCCCTGCAGTTTTTCTACTTCTATTTGAAGGTCTATGTATTTTGTGATTTTTCTCCAGTACTTTCTCTTCTGCTGTCTCCAGGTACTGTCATGTCCCACTATTCAGACTTTTTTTGGCTTTCTTGTTGACAGTTGTTAAGTCTGGAGTGTTACGTAGTAGGTGCTTGCCTGCTTTGAATAGTAAAGTCCCAGAACACTTTAGCTCCTTCTTTTTATATTACTTTGTCTATTTCTATTACTTTGTCTTGGTCTCACCAGTTCTTCCTTGCAGGTAAGAGTATTTCTTGAACTTCTTCCAATGCCCCATTGTTGCTACTTTGTCATGCCGTTGCTTGTAGTCAATCTGTGAACCTTTTGCAGCAGCTAAATAGATGCTGTTTCTTTAGCTACTTTGCAGAGACAGCATTTGTTGTTACTATCATCTCAATTCTGGCTTTGTATGCAGTTGTTCTTAAAGCTTGGTCTTGTGCAGTCAGAATTGGCCCCTCTGTCTCTTTCTTCAACTTTCCTGCTCTTAGCCATTGCCAGGTCTTCTGGTCTTTTGCTTTGCCTGCTTTTTTGTGTGTGTGGACGTATCAGCCATGTAATACTTTGCCTTGCTATGTCTCATTTCTGTTCTTCATTTGGTCTTTCTTATAGGTCAGTTTGGTCTCATCCATATTCAGCAAACGTTCATGGTGTACTAATTTCATTGCATCTTTTTCACTGTCCTTCAGATATTCTTCCAATGCCCTTGTTTCTTCTTCAGCTATCTGGTGTATTTGTAACATTTCATGACCACCTATGTTCCCTGGTAAGTATCATTACATAGAAAACAATATGAAGTCATAGCTGCCAGTTCTTCAGCTGGTGTTTGCATTGAATTCTTCCCAAGAACCCAGGATATTGCAATGTATCGGTGTACTATATGTGCAAATCCAAGGCCTTCTGTAAATGACAGATGGAAATTTTGTCAATGTTGCAGATGTTATAAGTATTGCCAAAGGCTTTTTGGTATGGCACCCAGTGTGCCAATAAGTACTGGGATCAGCCGGCTGGTTTATGTCATAATCTTTCACTTTTGAGTTTCAGATCTTGATACTTTGTGATTTGTTTGTTTGTTTGTTTCCCATCTCACCACAGGATAACTCTGTGGCCCTCTCCAATTCTTTGACTTCTATTCTGCTTTCCACTAGTATTGCCACATCAAATATCCACATTTTCTTCTTTTCATCAGTTTAATCTGATGTTTATGGGCCAAGACATTTATCAATTTGTATCAAGAAATCCAACAATATTTGAATATGTTCATTTTCAACTACTTTTCAACTATATATTCCCACCAGTTTCTCATTACTGGCACATTATAATTTTTACAAATGTTCCAGTGAGTCATTTTGATGACTTTTATGTTACTGTTGATAGCTGTTGGTTCAGTCTACTTGCATGAGTTGAGTGTGTGATCTACCATTTCTTCTGCCTCTTCTTACAGTTTGCATTTTTAATCAGTTGATTATTTTTTTTAGTTCTGACTTTGGTTGTATTAGTTTGAATAGCTTCCTCTTAAGCGGCCAAATTCTTTGGTTTCTTTAGTTAATGTTCCAGTTGTAAGCCATTGTCAGGGTTTTTTTTAATCCACTTTTACTTTGATCTTTTGTAGAAATTGACCATGCAATCCTTGCCAGCGTTCCGTTCCTGCTTTTACTACATTATTTCAATATTTATGTTTTGTTCCCTGTACATTAAGTTCCAATTTTTAATTTGCATCAATCTTTGGCTGTCTTTTACATAATTAGCTAATGCTTGCTTTTCTTCTTTGACAATTTATTTGACTTGAAGTAAACCTTTGCTTCTATTGCTGTTGAGCAGGTATAATCTATAATATCAGTGCAAGAATGTAATGGCTGTCACCTATTAACCTGTACATTCCTTCTTTACTGTATGCTCTGTAATTTTTCTTTTTTCTAACTCTTACTCTCTCATTCACAGTATACACAATATATGCTTTGAAGTTCTTTTTATCCACCTCCTTTGCCTAAAGATACCATCCTGGACATACTTGTCTATTGCTTCATCTATCTGACATTTGAAAAAATATAGTTGAGCTGTCACTTGTGAAAATATTTACACATATCTGGTTCTGCTGCCATCAAAATCCTCTTTTGATTAACTTCTGTTTTCTGTTGGCCTGCCTGCAAAGAATCAGAAAAAACTGTGTGGAGTGTATGTCAACTTCAGGCTCCAAATAACTTAAAACCATTGTATGGGCCCATTGTCTATGTCAGTGGTCCTCAACCTGTGGTCCGCGGACCCCTGGGGGATCATGATATTGTCATAACATTGAAGAAATGTTATGATTGAGTTAAGACATGGGGTCTGAGGCCATGGTCCACATAAAGTATTTAAAGAGGGTGAAGAAAAGGTTGAGAACCACTGGTCTATGTGGTTCTATGAGAAAATACTGAAAATAAAGTATCCTATTAGTTGCCAGTTTGGGCAAGCAGGGGAATATAAAGGAAAAAGTAACATCATGTGTGTCATTACATCATTCCACAAATGAAATGAGTACCAGGGCAACCTAAAGCCTTCTGCTTCTTTCTGAATTGATAACCAAAAACTAGTACAGTAGAGTGCAAAAGCCCTGCCCATTGGCACTAACAACCCATGAGCACCACATTTTGCGTGTGTTGCCCCCCCCCGCACTACTAGGGCCAGCGTTTTGGGGAACACTGCTCTAAAACATGTTCCAGCTTGATTGATCTATTCCAAAAAGGATTTAAGCAGCTGTTTTTTCCCCCCACTGCTTATTTCTGCTACAGATGCTTAATTGCAAAAAACCTTTCATCAAACACTTTGATGAGAAAAGAATAATGAATGCATTCTTTTTAATTCTCTTTTTATTTATTGCATTGAAGAAAACGTATAGTTGAAATCTAATTTTTGTATAGTTGAAATCCGACTTGTCTAGCTAGCACAATAATGTGATAAAAGTTCTTCATAGTTTCTGATTGTGGTTCATGGATTAAACAGAAAATTGACAATTCCACTCACGAAATAATCAACCAAAAAAGTATCCTCAAATATTCTATGAAAGAGCAAAACAGCTACTAGCATTATATACTGCTCAAAAAAATAAAGGGAACACAAAAATAAGACATCCTAGATCTGAATGAATGAAATATTCTTAGTAAATACACTTTGTTCATTACATAATTGAATGTGCTGACAACAAAATCACACAAAAATTATCAATGGAAATCAAATTTATCAACCCATGGAGGTCTGGATGTGGAGTTACACTCAAAATTAAAGTGGAAAAAAACACTACAGGCTGATTCAACTTTGATGTAATGTCCTTAAAACAAGTCAAAATGAGGCTAAGTAGTGGTGTGGCCTCCACGTGCCTGTATGACCTCCCTACGATGCCTGGGCATGCTCCTGATGAGGTGGCAGATGGTCTCCTGAGGGATCTCCTCCCACACCTGGACTAAAGCATCCCCCAACTCCTGGACAGTCTGTGGTGCAACGTGGCATTGGTGGATGGAGTGAGACATGGATTCAGGTCTGGGGAACGGGCAGGCCAGTCCATAGCATCAATGCCTTCGTCTTGCAGGAACTGCTGACACACTCCAGCCACATGAGGTCTAGCATTGTTGTGCATTAGGAGGAACCCAGGGCCAACCACACCAGCATATGGTTTCACAAGGGGTCTGAGGATCTCATCTTGGTACCTAATGGCAGTCAGGCTACCTCTGGCGAGCACATGGAGGGCTGTGCGGCCCCCCAAAGAAATGCAACCCCACACCATTACTGACCCACTGCCAAACCGGTCATGCTGGAGGATGTTGCAGGCAGCAGAATGTTCTCCATGGCATCTCCAGACCCTGTCACGTCTGTCACATGTGCTCAGTGTGAACCTGCTTTCCTCTGTGAAGAGCACAGGGCGCCAGTGGTGAAGTTGCCAATCTTGGTGTTCTCTGGCAAATGCCAAATGGGGCTGTAAGCACAACCTCCACCTGTGGACTTCGGGCCCTCATACCACCCTCATGGAGTCTGTTTCTGACTGTTTTAGCCACCACATGCACATTTGTGGCCCACTGGAGGTCATTTTGCAGGGCTCTGGTAGTGCTCCTCCAG